CCGTGCCTCGGCACCGTCCCCCTGCGGCCGGTGGCAGATCACAGGGTTCCATGCGGAGGCGGGGGACACGCAGCCAGGCATGAGCGGGCGTGCACAGCTCCCTGCTTGCTCTTGCTGTGTTTAACACCCGGTTCCTCTAAAGATGTGTCACCCCGCTAATTATGTGCATGGTTAGTGGTTATTCAATTAGGCGGGTGATTGTGTGTGGTTATGCTGCTATGCGTTGCTGCGGGCGATGGGACGTGGGACAACGACAGCCACACACTGTCGGCCAGAGAGCCGCAGTGAATCCAGTAAATTGTTGCGGTTTAGTGCCTGGCCATGGGCAGCAGGAGGGGAAGACTTTGCCCACCTTGCCCACTGTGGGGCCCAGGCCTCCAGAGATCTCTATGGCGTGTTTGTCCATCAGAAAAGCTGTGATGTCCTTCCAGTTGTAGCCCTCAGGCACTCTGACAGTGGTGATGGTGGGAAGTCTCACCTTCTGGGGAAGAGAAAAATGGGTTCAATCCTATGGCCCCACCCCCTGGTGAGCCCAGCAGACTGCCAGGAGAGAGCATTGCTAAGGGGGTTGTTTTTTCTCCAGTTTTAGAAGCTGCTCAAGCATATCTCGAGCCGTGCTGGGTTGTGTCCTCACGCTGCCCCTACCCCGCGGTGGTGGGCTTGCCCTGAACCCACCTCCTCCTTCACAAAGAGCTCAAGCCCCAGGCTGAGCAGCCCCTGGCACAGCCTGGCACAGTTGGCCCGGTGTCGCTCCCAAGAGCTCTCCAAACCCTGCAGGCAGAGAGGAGAGGGAAGGTCTCTGCTGCTGACAGGCACCTCCCGGCGCTCACCCGGCGCTGCTGGTGTCCCCCCGCCCGCCAGGTGTCACTCACTATCTCTGCCAGCATGGCCAAGCCTTCCCGCAGGCTGAAGAAGCTGTTGATGGGTGCCGTGTGGTGGTACCTGCAAAATTCAAGGGGCACCCAGAGGGGTTCAGCCTGGCTGCAACAGAGCAGCCCCTCGCTTGCAGTATGGGACACAGAGGGACAGCACTCTCCCTCCCCATCACTTAGTGCAGAGGGTTGTAACCAGCAGACAGGGTGATGGGCAGGCAGGGTCTGAGCCCTGAAGAACAGGCAGCCCCTGAGCCAGGGCAAAGGCTGGGTGGGGGACAGCTGCAGCCATCTGTGACCAGAGAGCCTGCCCTCACCTCCGTGGCTCCCCATCACAGCCCCAGTAGTTTCCCAGGCAGCCTATATCCAGGTAGAAGGATGGGGGCTTCGTCTTCCTTCTCATCACCTTCTCCCTGATGAAGCAGAATACTGGGGAGAGGCTGGACCTTCACCCTGCCAGCTCCAAGGTGGGATCAGTCCTGTGTCCCCCAAAGTGAGTGCAGAGATTGGCTCCAGCGCCCAGTTGCTGCCCAGGGATGGGCTGGGCTCGGCCCCCACAGCACTGCTGCTGCATGCTCTCCACATGCTGGGCATGCTCTCCACAGAGCAGGACTGGAGCAGATGGCTGGCAAAGGAGGGAGGTGACTGCCTCCCCCAGTCCCATTGCCTACCACCCCAGTGGGACTGGGCTGCTCTTACCTGGCTCGCTCACTGAATGAGATGGGGGCACTGCCAGGGGGGCTGTTGAGGACTTTCTGGGACCCCGAGTATAGGACATCGATCTCTGCACAAGAAGGAAGGCAGCTCCTTAGGGTTCGGACGCTTCCAGTGGGAAAATGCTGAGTACCCCCAGCCCAGCTGTGAGTGATGGGTGGGAAGCACAAGGGTGGCACAACTCTACAGATCTTGCTTGTGGTTGGGCTGCTTTGGGGGAACCCCTGGCACTGCTGATGGTTGCTTGAGGGGAACAGGCTCTCTTGGCTGCAGCTGGACTGGTTTCTAGTGCTGCTAGCCCAAAATATGGGCAGAGGGCCTGATCCCACTGCCCCATCTCTCTGGCCCAGTCATGAACCCCCTTGTCCAGTGCCCATGATGACACTGCAACTCTTACCCTGCTGGTCCATGAAGATGGGGGCTCCCCCAAGTGATGCCACCGCGTCCACAAGCAGCAGGCAGCCATGACTGTGGGAGAACAGAGCTCAGCCTGCTGTCCCTGCCTTCTCCTCTTGCCACCCTTCTGCCTGCAGCCCTAGCATCCTTGTCCCCCCAGGGCCACGTGTCTCACGGGCACCAACACCTTCCAGCCCCACAGAGCCAGGGAAGAGCCCGGATCATGTAAATCCCCAGGCCCAACTCCCAGTGGTGACCTTTGGTGACCACAGGTGTCCACTGTGCACTGACCGGTGGCACAGCTCGCCCAGCCCCTCCAGTGGCTGCAGCACGCCGGTGGAGGACTCGCCATGGGTGATGAAGAGCACTGAGGGCTTGTGCTGCACCAGGCCCTGCATGACACAGAGGGAAGGTGACCACACCCGAGGTCAGCTCATGCCCACTGCCTTGCACAGTGGCCAGCACTCACCAGCACTCACCTCCTCAATGTCCCGTGGAGTGAAATACTCGCCCGGGGGTTTCAGCAGTTCATAGACATTGGCTCCTGGGAGGAATTCGAGCAGAGAAGAGTGAGGTTTGGGTATACTTTCCACTGGGCAGTCACCTGCTCCACAGGGAAATCTGTTGCATGTGAACCAGGAGCACAGCTGCTTGCCAGGGTCTGGCATCCTGCAGATTTGGCCAGTGGAAAAGCCATAAACCACCATAAATGGAGAGACATCACCCTGGAAACAATCTGGACCGCTCGCTGGCTGTGGAAGCCATGTCACTGGTTGCTGCCACCAGGATTGGAACAGCAAGCCAGGGCTCACATTCTGGCATCCTGCTCTCAAACCCGGTCCCCTCAGCCCTGCCATGCCATCTGGCTGTCCCCAGCATACCCAGCCTCCTGGCAATGTCAGCAGCACGTTGTCCCCAGATGCCATTGATGGCCACCAGTATGGTGTCTCCACACTCGAGCAGATTGAAGAGGGCGGCCTCCATGGCACAGTGGCCACTGCCACTGATGGCCAGGGTCAGCTGGTTCTGTGTCTGGAAGGCGTACTGGATGCCTGCCTTGATCTCATCCATCACCTGCAGTGGCAAGGCACTGATTGGCACTACTATTGCTCTTCTTGCCCCAGCAGAGCCATTCCAACCCCTCCTGGAGGGAAGGGAGAGGAGAGGAGGGGAAGAAGACTGGGTTGGGGCGGCTCACCTGCAGCACTTCGGGGTGCATGTGGCCCAGGAGTTGCCGGCCGCCTGCAGCCTGGATGCGGTGGGGCACATTGCTGGGCCCTGGCCCGAGCAGCAACCTCTCTGGCACAACCAGGGGCCGGAGCAGCGTCTGGGGTGGGGGGACGTGGAGCAGGCTGGTGGCCATGGCACGCCGTACTGTCCCCAGGAGCTGAGCTTGGAGGAGAGGAGCAGTGGAGGCTGCCTGAGCAGCAGCCAGCACTGCAGCGCACAGCATCCCGTGTCAGCAGTGTCCAGTGTCCCGTGGACCCTGACCCGCAGCTCAGTGCTCCTCCCGCCAGTTTGGACTCTGCCCCTGATTACCTCTTCTGTCCAGTTAATGTGTCACCAGTGCCATTCCTGCTGTCTTGGACCCCTCATTTTGGGGCATACCCCTTTGATAGTGCTGGGGGAGTTGTTCTCCAGGTATGCCAGCCTCTGGGACTGGCAAGCACCAAGGCAGACCCTGGACCCATTGCCCCCAGGACACCATGGCTGATGGTTCCCAGCAGTATCCCAGCAGATGGGATCCCTGCTGTGGGCACCTAGGTCCTGTGCCACAGGATGGTTGTGCTGGGACCAGTCTGTCACAGCTGCCATTGTTATAACTCCTCTTGTAGCACAAAGCTCCTGTAGACCAGAGCTCCCTGACCAGGGACCTGCCTTGCAGAGGGACCTCTGGGTGGGTGACAGGTGCCCAGAGAAGGCTGGCCAGTGGAATAGTGTGTGCCAGGGCAGAGCTGTGGGGTGGGATATGGCCACAGTATCCCACTGCCACAGCAAGCTGTGTTCTGTGGGCTCAGCCTGGATTATGAGCATCCCAGTGTATCCTGATGATTCCATAGGCTCCACATGGGAATTCAATATGCTGTTGCCTGCCGTGTGTGCCCACAGTCAGTTGCATCATGCCCATCCTCTGGCACATTCTCTGCCATCTATACTCTGAAATACAAACAAGCTGCCCACTGCCAACTCTGGCAGGTCCACGAGTGGGTGCTCACCCTCAGTGAGTAAAGCTTTATCTGAGGATGACAGCATAGGGGTGAGAATTCCTCCCCAGCAGATCTGACACCAGCAGTTGGTGCTGAAGACATTTGGGACAGGGGCATGGGTCTGGCAATGGTGCCAGGTGAAAGCACATCATCTCAGCAGGTGGATGGCCATCACTGAGAGGAACTGGGGTCAGGTGTGCCTGCCCCTGCATGGATGATGGAAACCACAGTCAGCCTGGGGAGTGCTGTCATCTACCAAAATGACAAGATATCGGGTGAAGACCTCTCAGCTGCCTGTCCTCTAGGGAGATTTGGGGCATAGCTGGGGCGGGGAGGGGACGCCGTGGGGCGAGGGCGACCTCGCTGCTGGAAACAGCTGGCGGCGAAAGAATAATCCGCTTTCTGCGCTGGCTCTGAATACCCGGCGCAGATGGGCAGGAGCGGCCGGGCCCCACGCTGCGGGCGGGGTCTCGGCGGCCGGAGGAGCGAACGAACGGCGCCGGGGCAGGGGGCGCGGGAAGCCCTGGCAGGGGCCACTCCCCGGGGTTCCGCGCCGAGGTACCGGGGTGGCGGGGTGCGGGGTACCGGGTTACCGGGGTACCGGGGTACCGGGCCGGTGCCGGTTGCCAGGCGACGGCTGCCGGTGCCGCGAGGCCCCGCCCCGCCCCGCCCCTGCGGCGGCTCCGCAGCGCGCCCGGGGCTGGGGGATGCGCTGACGTCACCTCTCCATCCCCGCTCTCGCCCTCCCGGTCCCCCCCGTCCCCCCTCCGAGCGGTGGCGGCGGCGGCGGCGGCCAACCAGCGTGTGGGGCGGGGACCGCAGGGGTGGGGCTGCCGCCACCCGCACCAGCACCGGCACCGGCGCCGCACCGCACAGCACCGCACCGCGCCGCACCGCGCGGCTCGGCCTCATGCCGGCCCCCCCCGCCCGGGACTGAGCGCTGCGCCCCGCCGAACCGGGCACGGCCATCACAGGTAGGGGCGGGCGGCACTGGGTGGGACGGGTGAGCCCCGCCGCGCCCCCCGGGCGCTGGCCGGGGGGATGGAGGGGACCCGGGCTGCCCCAGGATGGCGGTGCCGCCCCTCGCGGCCCCGGCAGGGGCGAAGCCAGGCGTGGGGGAGCAGGATGCTCAGCCCCGGGGATTCGGCGGGGCGGGGGGGCTGCGGCCGCCGGCCATTTTGCGGGGCCCCGAGATGCGCGAAGTTTTGGGGGGAACTGCCCACTGGTCCCCATCGCGGTGGCCGGCGGGTGCCGCCCCGTCTTCCAGAAGGATCCAGGCGGGTGGTCCTGCCCGGTGATGGGGAGATGCCTCTGCATCTGGGTGTGGAAAGGGAGGATGCCATCCCCGCAGCCCATAGCGGAGGGCACAGGAACCCCTTGTCACCTCAGAGCCACAGCCCCGCTCTCCCCTCCGGGGCAGGTGGCTTTGGTCATGCAACTGAGCCATCTTGCGTCATCATCGAGTTAATGACAGTGCTGAAGGGGGCAGTTGATGCCCCAATCGGGGCTCTTGCCAAGGGGTGGCTGGCAAAGGTGCTGCGATGCTGAGGCTCGGTTTGCCCCCCAAGGACGAGCAGCTGCCACTGACCTTGCGCTGGGGAGCTGTGGACAAGGGCCGCTGTGTCACCGTGGGCCAGCACAGTAGCTGCTGGCTGTTGGAGGGGCTGGTCCCAGTGCGTAGGGCTGGTGCAGAGCTCTGTGCTTGGTCATCCAGGCTCCCAGGGAGCAGCCCTGCACCTGCCCCATAGCCTTCCTCCTCTGCTTCCTCCTTCCCCTCCTCCTCCCTCATGGGGCCGTTCCCCAGATCCCGAAGACCCCCTGTGAGCTGGGCTCTCATGCCTGCTCAGGTCCCATGAAACAGCAGTGGGGCTCGGGGAGGGCAAGGAACCAGCTGAGTGACTCCCGTACCACCCCACAGCCAGCCATCCTTCCATGCCTCAGTGCCCAGAGCAGCTCCTTGCAGGTGGCCTCTATGGGACTGGTGGGGCAGAGGAGGCAGCAGACCCCTCCCTCCCCCGGGTACGGCCAGGGGTGTGGTGGCTCTGCCATCTCTGCATGCTGCCACTGACCTCCATTTTGTCTGGGAGGTGGCAGCTGGCGCTGGCACAGATCCTGCCACCACCCCCCACCTCCCTGCGTGTGGCCAGAGCTGTAGGCCCCCAAACCTGGGGCGTGTGGGAACCTGGTGTCTGCCCCCTCCCTGGCTGCCTACCCTTCTCCGTGCCCAGCCATGCTTGTCACCCATCGGAGCTCTCTGCCTTTCCATGCGGATTTTCACTGCTGTGGTTTTGAGCCCGTGGAAGAGAGGATAGAGAGAGCAGAGATGGGGGTGGGGTTACTTGCCTTTGCAGCAGGGATGGGGAGCAGAACCCCTCATCTGCATCCTTACATTTGCTACTTGCAAACTGAATCTGCATGGAAATTCTCAGGGAGCTGCAAACCCTGCCGTGGAGCTGTGTCCATCACTGGGGTGGGCAGGAGTCAAGGAGGTACAGAGAAGGGTGCCCATGATGGCACTAGGGAAGCAGGGGCCTGGATTTCAGCTGGGGATGGGGGGCACTTGCCCCTGTCCTGGATTGTCCGCTGAGTTGCCTCCCTGCTGCAGGTGCTGCTCCAGAGAAAACTGCACTGTCACGGCCCCTTGCCCTGTGCGGGGTGGGAGGCGAGAGGGGAGCGCCCCCAGCTCAGCCGGCAGGCACTGATGGTGCCGTGTCAGCTGGCACCATGTCCCCTGCTGCCCTAGAGGCAGAGCAGAGTCCCGTGGTTGCAGTCAGAGTTGAGGGGCCCCAATGAGGGACGCAGGGGAAGGGCTCTCCACAACAAAGCCTGGCGGCTGCTGAGAACACACTGGTGCAGCCAGATGGGGCGTCCACCCTCGTCACTGAGGTGACGTGGGGTTGGATGCGCACAGACAAAGGGAAACTCACCTTGGATTTCCCTGGGCGCAGCCAGCTCCGCATGTGCTGGAGCTGGGGGACTGGCAGCATGGCATGTTCCTTAGCATCCTTTGAGGAAGAGCTTGCTGTGGGTGGCACCTGGGGACAATGCTCCCTGTCCCACTGGTCACCTCTCAGCAGGAGAGGCTGCCAATTGGTAGCCCTTGGACTTAAGAGAGCTTTCATTAGCTAATCTCTGCCCAATTAATCTTAGCTGATCTGGTTAATCATGGCTCTCTAGGTCTTTTGCTCCTCACTGGAAGTCACCAGTGTGCCACAGGGATGGATAGAGCCAGCAGGCTGCACTGGAATGGGGGAAAGAGATGCCCTGCACAGTTAGGGGACAGGCCTAGACGTGCCCTGGCTCTCTGGCCCTGGGGACTTGGCTGTTCTCCTCTGCCACCTCCTTCATGTGAAGGGTAGCCCTGGGAGGCGGCAGGGAGGGAGCAGAAAGTGGGGCTGCGGTGCTGGCCCGCTCCCAGCCAAAGGCTGGTCGTGGCTTATTGAATTTTTCTCGATGGCAGTGGATTAAGCAGGCGGTGGCTGGCTGTCCCCAGGCAGAGTGAGCTGGCTGGGCTCGGGGGGCGGGGGGGCTGCCTGCCCCTGCCCACTGCAGCCTGGCCCCTCTCTCTGCAGGATGCTGAGTGCCCACGACCAGGGGTGCTGTGGCTCAGGGTGCTCCCACGGTATGTGGGTGCAGGCTGAATTCCTCCCCACAGCTGAGCCAGGAAAACAAGCTGGGAAGGAGGGAAGGAGGCTTGTGAAGCAGCTGCGCAGGCGTCTGCTGGTGGTCCCCAAGGGGACACAGTGTTGCCTGGGGTCCTTGTGCTGCCAATGCAGAGATGGGATTGGAGAGCTGCAGCAGAGCAGAGGGAAGCAGCACGTTGCTGACTGAGGAAGGTGAAGGAGATGGATGGAGTAGAAAATGGAGTCAAGCTTGGGGCTCTGCAGCAGGCAGTACTGGCAGGGAGAGGAGCCCACACCACGGGGCAAGGCTAGCCAGATGGGAATACACTGGGATGTGGACGTGGGGATGGCTGCTGGTGAGGTGGGGGATTTTCATGACTATTGAGGGTGGGCTAAGGGGGTATGGGCTGTGGGACTGAGCAGGTTCCTGCCCCTTGCCCCGAGAAGGGCAAGCAGCACTAATGGAGGCTACACAGAAAGATGAGACATGTGGAAAAGTGGGACGAAAGAGAAACCAGAGCTTCTTTGTGGGAACTGATAGGGCTGGAGGGGCTGGGAACAGTGCAGGGGTGGGAGGGAATAAGGGCAGGGATGAAGTGGCCTGTGGCAGGCAGTAGACAGTCCTGTGGCTGGTGGGGTCACTGATGGGTGTGCTGTTCTGGTGGCTGTGCAGGAGGCAGGAGCCCAGGGACCTGACCCCCTCTTCAGAGCCTTAGTAGCTGGAGAAGCTGCAGAGCTGGGGGAAGGGAGCTGTGTTGGCTCAGGAGGAGAGGGAAACATTTGACACAAGCAGTTGTTGGGTGCTGATGTTATTTAGCCCAGTGATGGATCTGTTGTCCCTGAATGGTGCCACAGGGTGGAGCAGCTCGAGCCAATGGCCTCATGAGCATGCAGCCCTTCCATCTAGGAATATATCCCATCGTTCCATGGGAAAAACAACTTTTTCATTCCCCTTTGGTGAAGCATTCCTGTTAAATTTTTCCTTTCCCCCTCTGAGGCAGAGGCCACTGGCATGAGGCAGCCCGCTCGCTGGCTTAGGGACTCAAGGGTGGTGTTAAACACCTGCTTAAAATAATCCAAGCTCAAGACAACCTGAGACCAAATGCTTGAACTCTGAAACTGGTGGAATTTATGGGTGTGATCTCTGGCTGAGCACTGTGGTAGTTCCAGAATCATCTCAGCGGGGCAGTAAGAGGAGAGTTTGGGAACTCCAACAGGAGAAGCTTTGTCTTCCTCCTGCTGTTGGGCATGCCGGCTCACTTTTAAAATAGGCAAAGGGTTTCTGAAAGGCATTGATGAGCTTGTAACACTTTCTTGCTGCAAGTTTTTCCACTGCACTGTGCTTTTGGTTTCCTCTTACCCCCCTGGAAATGAAACCAGAGCTGTCAAACCTCAGGTAGTTCTAAAACCATCCCCTTCTCTTGGGACACTTTCCATTCTAGGGATCTCTTTTTTTCTTCTCTTTTACCCTCCTCTTTTCCACAAATTCAGCTGTACTTTTTATTTCCATTCTGGGAAAACCCATCTCGTGTTGAGGATCCATCCTTACTGCTCCACTTTCTGCTGGTCTTGGCCCATGTAACCAGAGCTGGGCCATGGCTCACTCACAGCTCGTTCCTCCCTGATCTCCTTCCTCCCAGAGAGAGCATCCTACTGGCAAAACCCAGGCTTGAAAAGCCATAGGGAATTTGCAGGCACCCTTGCAGGTGGGATGCCAGAGGAGCCAGTTCCAGCCCATACTGAGGGGTCCTGACCTCCTCTTCCACCACCAGGCTCAGCACAGGGGATCAGGAAGCAGGGACAGACAGCAGAAGGGAGGAACATCAGAAGGCAGGAATAGATTTTGTCAGGTCCAAAAGAATCCCAAAAGATACAGTGGTCAAAGGAAGGATCCCAGCATGATTTTCTGATCAAAGCTTAAGTGGGCTTAACTGCAGTTTGGGGAAGGTGGGATGGGCTGTGGAGCACTTTGCCACCAGTGCTGGGATGGGCAACTACTCTGGGAGATGCTGGCAAGCAGTTTGTTTCATCTTCTGGGATTTGTGATCAATAATTTATTAGCAAAAGAAGTGGAAAAATGACGGTGAACTGGGAACTTCAGCTGAGTGCAATGGGCACCAGCTTCCCAGCCATGGCTGCTCTTGCTGACGCCACACGTCTGCTTTGTGAGAGCTGAATGGGAGCCACATGCCAGCAGCTGTGTTTAACAGCTGCCTCCTTTCTCAGTGGAATGCCATTACTTTCCTTCCTGCTCCCCCCTGTCCAGCCCCTGCTTTGCTGGGGTTGGGGTGGAGGCAGGAGGTTCAGGTGATGGGCAGGGCCTGTGGGCTTGCTTGTAGATGAGGGGCTATCTGCTCAGTGCCATTGGCACCCTGGGATGGAAAACCACTCCTTGGGGGTTGTGCTGATGCTGACAGTGCCTACGTGGCCCTGCCCTGGGGATGGCCCCTGGGATTGAGCTGAGGGTCCTGACCCGAGATATGATGGGGAGCAAGGAGAGGTAAAATGTGGGCAAATCACTGTTCCTGGGAGATTTCCTTGCGCAGGCTTTCCGTTCATCCTACACTGCTGCAAGATGTGGATTGGGATGTGGATGCAAGCTTTCCTAACCCCCTTTTCCTCTCTCCTTGCAGAACAGCCACTGCTCCTGGGTAGCAGAACCCACCTCTGGCCAGCGCGATGGCGGGAGCATCAGTGAAGGTGGCGGTGCGCGTCCGGCCCTTCAACTCCCGGGAGATGAGCCGGGAATCCAAATGCATTATCCAGATGTCAGGAAGCACCACTAGTGAGTACCTCGGGGCAGAGGGGCTTTGAGTACTGCCTGGGGAGGAGCATGTGTGGTCTGGCCCCAGCAGCGAGCACTGGGCTGCTGCGATCCTTGTTGCGGATGCCTGTAGCACCCAGAGTTGTTTGGAGGAGGGAATGTGGGGAGGATGTCACCTTTACCATAGAGAAATGCAGTCCTGCTGTTGAAATGGCAGTGATAGGATCTATATGGCACCGAGCCCTCGGATTCCAGTGATAGTGAATGGGTCAGCATTCCCTGGTAGGTGATGAGGGAGGAATCAAAGAAATCACAGTGTGATTTGGCTTGGAAGGGACCTTAGCAACTGTCTCATTCCAACCTCCTGTCATGGGAAGCATGTCCACACCGTCCACTAGACCAGGTTGTTCAGAGCCACATCCAACCTGGCTTTGAAGCCGTTCGTGGGCCTGTGAGTGGCTTCTGACAGCACTGCTGGGCCAGGTACCACACACTGCGGCATGCCAGGACCCATCCCTGCTTCTATGGGGCTCTTGGAGCTGCAACCGCAGCAGAATGGAGGGGTAGGAGTGAGGTTTGCCAAGGGAATGGTGTGTTCGGGGTGGGGGATGTACTAGGGGGCTTGGGGCTGTCTGTCCTGTCAAGGAGCCGGTCCGACCTTTGCTGCTCTTTAAATAACAGCTTCTGGCTGTTGGGAATGGCAGCCAAATCTCTCCTCTTTGGCTCTGGAAGCCTCCAGATGGGGCAGTGTCTAAAATAACTCCCTGCCCGCCCTCCCGGGGCTGCCTGCGTCACTGCCGGTGGGTGAAACACCGGCGCCAGCCACCCCCGCGGTGCGCCGGCAGGCTGCCATGGCAACCCCAGGGGTGGGGAGAGAGGGCACCCAAGGGTGCTCTGGGACCCCACTGGGCCCTCTGCTCACCCCAGGCCTTGGGAACAGGAATGGGCGGGTCTGTGGGGCAGTGCCTGATGGACTTTGGTGTCCTGTGGGGCTTCTCCCTTCCCGATTGGGCAGGGGTTCTCTGTCTGCCGGGGGTGGAGAATTTCTGCCTTCACGGTGAGGAAGCCTCCTGGCCCCACAGAAGCTTCTCACCTGCCCAGGTGAGAGCACAGACAGGGTAGATGTCCCCCATTCTTGTTCTGGTGGGGGAGGAGGAACGACCTGCCATGCCCCAGTCCCAGACAAGAGCATCAGGCAGCCCCCACCACCATGGCCATGTTTGCTCAGAGCCATCCACCCCTGCTCATCCTGCACCGCCCTGGCTGTGCCCCTGACCCCCCACCCCCTGCCCCTGCCTGAGCCAGGGAGGGCAGCAGGGCTGGGAGCAGGAACCTTTTGCTGACAGCAAGGATTTTCTCCATGAATGGACAAACCGCTGGCTATTCCCCTTGGCCGGGGGACTGGGTTAGCAGGCGTGGGAGGCTCAGAGGCCTGCTTCTCCTGTGGCTGGGGGAGGCAGAAGGATGCCAGCAGTGCCAACAGAGCAGGACTGTCTCACCCCCCAGCTCCTTGCAGAAAAGCCAAAAATAAATGTGTTTGCGGGTAGTGAGAGCAAGTTTTCCCCTTCACAGGATTATTTGCATTGACCCCTACGTGTGCTGTGGGGGGGACACAGGTGCTTCTGCTGTCTATGCACTGAGCCCTGTAGGGGATAGCAGTGGCCAGGGACCAGGGTGGGAAGGGGTCAGCCTTTCTCTGCTGTCCTTTTCCCTGCAAACTTCCAGCTGCCACAACCACCCACCTGCCCTCTAACACTGCTGCTTTGTTCCCCTGGTGTCCTCTGCTCTGTGGGGTCCATCTTGGGCACCAACACTCCCAGCCCCTGTCCTGGCAACTCCCACCAGGATGGTAAGGACAGGACCCCTGGCTTTGATTCCACAGGGCCAGTAATATTCTCTGGCTGTAGCCATGCCTCTGCTGGTTTTAAAATCTGATTATTTTCTCTCCTGTGAGTTCTGGGTTCTCTCTTTCTCGGTGCCTCTGCCACGCTGCTGGCTCCTCAGGGTAAGGCAAGAGACATCTCCAGAAGTTTTCTTCCTTCCTGCCCCCATGTCTATATGCCTGTATTCACCCCCACACCCCTCCTTGCCTTTTTAATCCCATTTGCCCAGAGCACGAGTCTTTTGCAAAAGCCCTGGATGCCTGGAGAGGAAAAATTCCACCAGCAGCATCCATCTGCCTGCAGGCAAATAAATGGGAATGACAGGGGCAGGGGGAGAGCCTTTCAGCTCAGGGTTGCTCTCAGAGTTCTCCCTTCTCCCTGTGTCCATCCCAGTCTCTGGTTTCCTTGCTGGTGGTGCCAGCTGGACAGTTGCAGCTGGGCTGGCTGGAGCCACTTGGTGCCATCCTCAGCTGCTCCTCTGCCCCGTGCCCAGCATGGGATGCAGAACAGCCACCTTGTTCCCATCCTGCCCACTCCAGGACTCATTTCTGCCCCTGTTCACTGTGGTGAGGGTCACCCCTGCAGGGCAGAGACAGACCCGAGCCGAGCGCAGGTGACTGGGCGGCATGGCAGAGCTGCCAGGTTGAACTCCAGGAGCCATCAGAGATGCTCTATCCCTCTTCTTACGTAGCCTTCACACCCACTTCTCTTCACAACAAGCACAACAGCCAGGCGTTGGCAGGGATCAGGGGTGGGCAGCCACAGTGGCTGCCCACAAAGACCTGCTCTTCCAGGGACCTCCACATCCCCATTTACAGCTACAGGATTGCCAGTAGTCATTTCCCAGCCCTTTCTCCTGGTCGTTAGTTTGCCTGGGATGCAGCAGGCATCCAGAGCACCTGAGTCAGGCTGCCTGCAGTGGGTAGGCAGGCAGGGAGCCTCTGGCTGCCCCCCTTTGGTGCCAGAGTTGGGCTTTTGTCCACAGTGAGTAGCATCCGAGCAGCACTGGGCTGTGGTTTCATGGTTGGGGCTGGATCCTGACCCCACTTCCCACCCTATCCTGCCTGTCCTGCTGCTGTTGTGTGCAGGGCTGGGCTTATCTCAGGCCAGAAGTGGCGGACCCTTCCCGAGGGAGTATCCATTGTGGTAGTGGAGGAGGAATTTGGAGCAGAAAGCATTCATATCCCTAACACCGTGCACCTGGGTATCTGACACCACAGTATCGGGCTGCACCGTGCCTGAGGCTGCTCAGGAAGGTTTCAGGTGGAATCTAGAGTGGGTGTGAGCCCTGGCTGAATGGTGGCTTCAGGACAGGGCAGGGCAGTTTGGGAGCTCTGCTGGCCTTGTGGCTTACGGGCTCCTCGTCCTCAGTGGTGGCAGGGAGCAGCTGGGGGCTGTGGGCGTGGGAACTGTGGGAACTGTGCTGTGCAGGCCTGCAAGGTCACCTCAATGTCACCTAACATGGCTGGTGGCTGGATCTCGTGATTACCCACTGGTTTGGGTTTCTTCTGACGCATCTGTTGTTTCAGAAAAAAACCACTGAAAATGCTCTACAGGAGAAAAAAAAAGCATCGAGCAAGGAAGAGCAGTGATGCAGGCTCCAATTTCCATGGCAACGTCCTTTTCATCAGGGGATGAGAAAAGCAGGCTCTTGTTTCTGTTGGTGGTGTGACACGAGGCATTAATCACCCTGCTGGGGCTGGGGACCTGGAGAAGCGGGAACTGGGGGGGCCCTAGGGGAGCCCCAATGGGGTTGCAGCTGCTCCCACCCAGTGCAGTGCCAGCGTGGGGGCTTTGGGCATGGCCCCCCAGCTGTGGGGTAAGGAAGGCTGTGTGACCCTTCTGTGCTGGTGCTGGGCTCCCATGGGCAGGTGCCACAACAACAAGGAACCTGAGGGAAGGAGCCATATTCCCCTCACCATGTCCAGCAGGATATCTGGGCAAGGCTCTGCCTTGTTCCCTTGGGCTCTGCTGGCCATGGCATCCACCTCCACTGCTTTCATTGTTGGGGTCTGGGGGCTCTAGACCCATCTGCAGAGCTGGAAGGGTCCCAGTCCACTTTTCAGGACTGTTTTGGACTGAACCCCATCACCCCCAACCCCTCGTGCAGGGGGTGTGGAAGGCAGGGGTACCACGGGTGGCTGGAGGCCTCATGTTCCCATCTGTTTGTCCCTAGCTATCCTGAACCCGAAGCAGCCTAAAGAGACTCCAAAAAGCTTCAGCTTTGACTATTCCTACTGGTCCCACACTACGGTAAGCATTGGGAGGCCTGAGCCCACCTGGAGCACTGGACTGGAGAGAGGTAGGAGGGCCTCCCTGCCAAATTTCTTCATATACCCCTATTCTCTGCAGCCTGCAGACATCAACTATGCATCCCAGAAGCAAGTGTACCGGGACATTGGTGAGGAGATGCTGCAACATGCCTTTGAAGGCTACAATGTGTGCATCTTTGCCTACGGTCAGACGGGAGCTGGAAAATCCTACACCATGATGGGGAAGCAGGAGAAGGACCAGCAAGGCATCATCCCACAGGTGTGCCTGGGGAAAGCTCCCTGCCCCCCTGGTCCCAGAGGCATGCCCAAAGGAAAAGCAGAGCTGAGAGGGAAGAGGGAGCAGGGTGGGGTCAGGTTTTGCCAAGGCCTAATACAGCACTGCCATGACAGTAAGCTGGCATGGCTCTACAGGAGAATGGGGGGCCAAGGAGGGTCATCCGGACTCTCCTGAGACTGGATGGACTACAGTCTGGCCACACAAGGCCAGTGTTCCAAGTGCTGAGTTGTTTACTGAGAGCTGCCACGTGCTGGCCCCAGCAGGGCCTCTGGGGATGCTGATCAGCATGGGGGGCTCTGCCAGCACCCCGGGAGCCATCCCACTACCCTTTGGCTCTGTTTTTTTGGGGTGAGAAGGTAGAAATCCCTGTGGCCTGGGCACCCCAGGCAGAAGCATCCTGCTGGCAGGGGACTGAGCCTGGCTCTTCTCTCCACAGCTGTGCGAGGACCTCTTCTCCCGCATCAATGACACGACGAATGACAACATGTCCTACTCTGTGGAGGTAGGAACCCCACTGCCTGTATAGTCCACTCCCAGCCTCCCACCATCTCTGGAAGCCATGGCGGTGTGCAGACCCCTCTTTGGGGGTGCCCCTGGGTGTGGGGTGGGCAGGCAGGACTTCATTCTGCTAGCCCTGCCCGTGCCTTCTGCTCTAGGTGAGCTACATGGAGATTTACTGTGAGCGTGTGAGGGACCTCCTGAACCCCAAGAACAAGGGGAACCTGCGGGTGAGGGAGCATCCCCTTATGGGCCCATATGTTGAAGACCTTTCCAAGCTGGCCGTGACCTCCTACAATGACATCCAGGACCTCATGGACTCTGGAAACAAGGCCCGGTGAGTTGGGGAAGGAGGAGATGGACAGGATTTGGAGGGCTTGCAGGCACTTCTAGAAGGTCCTGCTTCACTTCCTTGCTTTGCCAGTCCATCTGCTCTGGAGATGGCAGCCCCCTTCTCTCTGAGCATTGGGTACCCTCCTCTTCCTTTCACCTTAGCTCCTTCCTGCTCTCAAAATGCACTGTAGCCATCAGGAGAAACCCTAGACTTGTGCATATCCCCTCCCAGAGTCCTCTCTTGTCCTCCAGACTTGCCTTCCCATCATGTACCCTGTCCTGGCATGAGCCCTGACCCCATCAACAGCCATTTTAGTGTCCCCCACAGGGTGTCACACCTCCCTGTGCTCCTGTCCCTGCAGCACAGTGGCTGCTACCAACATGAACGAGACCAGCAGCCGCTCCCACGCCGTGTTCAACATCATCTTCACGCAGAAGCGACATGACGCTGAGACAGACATCACCACTGAGAAGGTGAGAGCAGAGCCTGGAGAACTTGGGGGAACCCAGGAAGGGCTTTGTGTGCTGTCACCAGCACTTGGAATGAGGTGGTGTGGCCTGATGCAGGATTGGAACAGGAGGGAGATAAGTCCCAGCTGCATACTGGGCCCATGGTCCCTTGTGGTACCAGCTCCTGGACAGCATATTTGTCAGCTGATGCCCTCCAGGCCTACCTGCAAGGATATTAGCCATGCTCCTTGACAAATCTTGCAGGGATGACCCTGCAGAGCCCACCACTGCCCTCAGAGCAGTGTTACCCTGTGAAAGGTCTTGGCTTCGTGCCAGGCAAGGTTTGCTGTGCCTGCAGGGCTGACAAGCCTCCTTTCTGCCTGCAGGTCAGCAAAATCAGCTTGGTGGACCTGGCTGGGAGCGAGCGAGCCGACTCCACAGGCGCCAAGGGCACGAGGCTAAAGGTGAGAGCTGATGTGAGGTCCGCTTCTGCCGGTGGGGACACCACGTCCTGCCCCCTTGTCCCCAGCTGAGGCATCTCCTTTCCTCGCCCACTGATTCCTCGCCCACTGCGCTGTTAAAATCCTTGATAGGGTTGTGTTTGAAAGCTGCCTAATGCCAGTATCACCATGGTCCCTGAGTCCAAGCTGGGAGGTGCTGGTATCCAGTAAGACCAGCGGCTCTTTGCCCACCTGGTACCGGGAATTCCCCATTCTTTTGGGCTTTAATGCGGCTCTGAGATGGGGCCTGAGCATCTGGCTTTTCCTCTCCTCCCCAGGAAGGAGCAAACATCAACAAGTCCTTGACCACTCTGGGGAAAGTCATCTCTGCCCTGGCTGAAATGGTAGGTAGCCAGAGCACAGAGAAGTAGCAGCACTGGAGGGGAATGGGCTTGGCGCAGCAGGGATAGGCTTAGCTCCAAGGGATGGAGCATCCCACCTCTGAGGGATGGGCAGATACCTACCAAGATGTCCCTGGGGCTGGAAGAAGCTGGGCTGGTGAGGCTGCCATCTCCACTGGGACCTGTGCCTGCTGCTCTCTACTTGAGGGGTGGGGGAGCTGTGGTGGGCACCGAGAAGGGAAGCCCCTCCCTTAAACAATCTCTTCACTTCTTTTGCAGGATTCGGGGCCAAACAAGGTAGGTACCCTGGCACAGTTGGATATAAGTGGTTTGCAGGGTGGTTTGGGGATGAGACACCTGGACACAAACCATGCTTCTCCTAGGGGCTGGCAGAGCCTTCAACATCCTCCTCACCCTGTGGCTTTCAGTACCCAGTCTTAAACATCCCCCCCACTAGCCCAGGGCATTTCACAGGCAGGACCTGTGGACTTGAGCAAAGATGCCCAAGGTTGCAGTGGCCAGGCAGAGCCATCATCCTCCAAGTCCCCATAGCTGGGAACCAGCTGCCTCCTCTTTGAAGAGAGCAGGCAGCCTGACAGCCCTTCCCTTTGCTCTCCATCCCCCAGAACAAAAAGAAGAAAAAGACGGATTTCATCCCTTACCGGGACTCGGTGCTGACCTGGCTGCTGCGGGAGAACCTGGGTGAGGACAGGTGGAGGGTACAGTCTGGTGGTGGGCATGGATGCTGAGCAGAGTGTGACAGCTGGCACAGGGACCAGCATCTTCCTGATGTGGATGTATCTCTCTGGGCAGGGGGCAACTCCAGGACTGCCATGGTTGCTGCTCTCAGTCCTGCTGACATCAACTATGATGAGACCCTCAGCACCCTCAGGTAGGAAGAAGTGTCCTTGTTCCCACTACACTGAGCAAGAGCAGGGAAGTCTCTGAGGCCCAGGCACCGCCACATGCTCTCCTCACCTTTGTGGCCCCCTGCCTGGGGGTGTGCTATGGGGGGAACCTGCAATGCCAGACAAAATGCAGGCGATTGTTCCAGCACTGGGATCCTCCAAAGAATCATTTGCTGGAGGGGCTCTGTGGCATGCCTACTTGGCAAGCAGCTGGAGTTTTGCTCCTCTCCTTGCCACTGCTCAAGAACCTGCCTTCCCCAGGTATGCTGACCGCGCCAAGCAGATCCGTTGCAACGCTGTCATCAATGAGGATCCCAACAACAAGCTCATCCGGGAGCTGAAGGATGAGGTGGCCCGTCTGCGTGACCTTCTCTATGCCCAGGGTCTTGGGGACATCATTGACAGTAGGTACCACGGGTGCTCTCTGCCAGTGGCTCCCGGCAGCGATGGACTGAGGTCCCCCCAGCCTGCAGGGCCAGTGTCCCCACAGCTGCCCTGCGTCCTGCTCCATCCTGCCGCGGTGGCATCATGCTGCCTCTGGGGAGCCCCTGCGCGTGTGTTTGCAGCCCCCAATCCCCTCCTCTTGCAGGAGGAGCTGCTTTTCACCCAGCAAACCTCTCCTTCTTCCCCTCCACCTACCATCTTCAGCATTCAGCACCCAGCAGAGGTGCCAGGAAGGTGTTCCTGGGGCTGCATGCACCCGTGGGTTCTCCTCCCTGTGCTGTCAGATATCCAACTGAGATGAACCCCCTCTTGTTCTGTTCTTTCTGTCTTACCCCTGCTCCCTGCCGTCTCTTTCTCTCTTAGCCCATCCTGCTGCAGGAGGATCCAAATGTGTGTATTCCCCATCACTGGTACTCTCTGTTGCTTCACGGCTTTTGGGAGGCATAGGCTGTGCCCAGGGGCACTCGTGCAGCATGGGGAGGGGCTCCTGCAGCCAACCCCTGCTGGTGGAGTGGCTCGTGCCCACAGGCTGGCCATCCCCAGGGAGCTGGCAGAAGGGATAGTGGCAGAGTCGTGGTTAGCACCTGGGCTTGGGATAGTGCTTGAGGGACCAGTGTCCTCCGACTCAGCCATGCCAAGGGCCCAATCCCCATGGGGACCCCTTCCTCCATGCTGTCATGATGTTTCCTCTGATTACTGCTGCTGCTGCTTCCGCTGGTGCTGTGTCTCACTGGGACTGGAGCCTGGCACGGCACTTGGGTGGGATGGCATGGTGCTCTCCTGATGAAGGGGTGGGTAGTGATGGTTAGAAGGATTTTGTCCATGGATGAGCACTATGGCCCCATCCCACCACGGGTCAGGCAGTGCAGTCAGGCTATGGCAAGCCTGCTGAGGAGACAAGGGCCTGGCTGTCCCCTCCTGGCTCAGCATCCCTGGATGTGGGCTGATGGAGGTGGGTGACTAATGCTGCACCTGCTAAGCTCCTGCCCATCTCTGGCACAGTGTGCTGAGACCCTGCGGCTTCCTCAGAGCTGGAGGAGCACCTCCAATAGCTGGGTCCTAAGCTGCTGCAGGTGATTCTTGGGGTGCTGGCTGGCAAGCACCGCTGCCTGTAGCCCTGGCTTCACTCTCTGGCTGCCTGGCCAAGGTGCTGCTCTAGCAGGCCAAGGGCTTCCTGTGAGCAGATCCTGCCACTTCTTCTGCCCTGTCCACCAGACCCCTTAGTAGGATGGAGTGCCACCAACTCTCATCCCCTTCCCTTCTCATTCTCTGTCCCTGGATCCAGCTAATCAAGGGCATCTGAGCAGAGAAAACCACCCAGGCTGTATCAGATGGGGAGGATGACAGGGGCAGTGGCACATGCTCGGGGAGGACATCTGATGTCAGACCTGATTGCTGCAGGATTTGGTGTTGCAAAAAAGCATCCCTGGGAGCCTGGGTAGGCTGCTTCCAGCAGCTGCTTCACGAAACAGCCCCATGCCCTGAGGGGAGAGAGCATGTGCCCTTGCCCTGGTGCTGTCTGTGCTGCTGTGCTATTGCCTGTGCCTTTTCCTTGCAATTCCTGGCTTTCTTCTTGGCACACCGGCCACTCTTTTTTTTTTTTTTTTCCAACAGCTTTTCTTGTCTCTGTCTTTCTCTTTCTCTCTCCTCCTTTCCGTGTGTCTTTCCCTGGCCCATCCCTCCCCGCCCATAGATGTGTCCGACTTTGAGAACAATAATGATGCTAGAGGGACAGAGCTGAATCACCGCCATGACAATCTCTCCACAGTGACCAATGCCATTGCTGGGATCAGCCCCTCTTCCTCCCTGTCCGCCTTATCCAGCCGCGCTGCCTCCGTTGCCAGCCTCCACGAGCGCATCATGTTTGCTCCGGGCAGTGAAGAGGCAATTGAAAGACTCAAGGTAAGAGGCCAGTGCCCTGCAGGACAAAGGGCTCAGCTCGATGCGCTGTGGCTTGCAGAAGGGGCTCAGTATTTTCTGGAAGCTCATGATGGGTGTTGCTCCTGAGAAGCAATGCTCGTATGTCCTCTTGCAGAGCAGACAGACCCAGGGTTTGCCCAAACTGCCAGGCAGGAGGGGGTTTGGTATCGTAGGTAAACCTGGTGCTGCTGTCCTTCCTGCAGGGTGATGGCTACCTTTGCCCTGTGGGACAGGTGCTCCCAGCTTAGAATGGGCACTCCTGGCTCAGAACGAGTGCTCCTGGCTCAGCATGGTGCAGGAGCAGGCTGGCAGGAAGAGGATGGAGAAGCTGGTCTTTGTGCCTCGCTCTTTGAAGACGGGGCTAATGGAAAGATGTGGGTGAAATGCTGCTACACCTTGTACAAGCCAGCCTGAAACTGGGACCAGTGTCCCACTGCAGCATACTGGGCAGAACCGGGCAGAGTGGGCAGGTGTGCTGCCCATGGGATACACTAACCCTGGGCTCAACCCACATTTGCCAGGAAACAGAGAAGATCATTGCAGAGCTGAATGAGACGTGGGAGGAGAAGCTGCGGAGGACAGAAGCAATCCGGATGGAGAGGTGGGTGGGTTGGGGTGGTATGGGACAGGGTGGGATGGGATGGGATGCCATTCCCTCTGCACTTTGCTCCAGCAGTTCAGTTCCTGGGGCAGCCAGGCAGTTTGAATGTCCAGCCATACCCTCGGCTGTCACCGGGGCACCCCAGTGCCCACCTCAATAGCCTGCACAGAGGTGGGCTGCTCTGAGAAACCCACCAGAATTACGAAGAGAGCTGAAGCAAGCCCTCTGTCTGTGATCCATGGGGTCAGATTCCATTCTAGTGCCGGCTCCAGGTGTGCGTGGGGCTTTGACAGTCTCTTCTTTCTCTTGCTCCTTCAGGGAAGCATTGCTGGCCGAAATGGGGGTGGCCATGAGGGAGGATGGAGGCACCTTGGGTGTTTTCTCTCCTAAAAAGGTAGGATCATCCTATTCCCTTCTTCCTGGGGACTGGTTTGTACCCCCACAGCTCCCTTCTGACCCGTGCCATCAAAGCTGGCTAGCTCCACATATTTCACTAGCTGTTTCTTGGCTCTGAAACCTGTGGGGGAAATCCCAGCATTGAGCCTGCTGGGTACAAACATGGGTAGAAATATGTGGCTAAATGTCCAGCCTCCATTGCTGGGGTGCTGTCCCCTTTCATGGAGGCATTTGCTTATGATTGCTGTGCTGAACTTCAGTGTCAGCTTGTGAAAATCTGGACTTTGGGATATTTAAAATTGCTGCCCCTGAAACCAGTAAGTCCTCACTAAGAAATGTGGGTGGGAAAATATTCCATCTCTTTATTGCTTGTAGCATTTGGCTTGGCCAAACCTCTTGTGTGTCCTGAGCTGAGGTGGTGATAAGGACTTCAGGACCTTCCCCTTACATACCCCAACTTGACTTATAGGATAAAATTGTACACTTTTGTCTTTGTTTCTTGTCCCAGCCACTGCAAGTTAGGACCCCTGACCTTTGGGTAGGAAGCGTAGGGGTTTATTCCCCGAAGCAGGTTAGTCTTGGAGGTGGGGCATTGCTGTGGTGGTGTTGGTGCCTCCTTGCTCTTCAGCTGTCTGGTGGGTGGAAACTCTTCTGAATTCTCCAGTGGCTGGCAAGCAAAGTTGGTGTTGATAGTGTGCAAACCCCATTTTGTTATGGGCATTGCAGGACAGAACTGTGCTGTTCCGCTTTGTGCCATGGCTGGGCTGGTCATGGCTCCAGGAGCTCAGCAGGACACCAGCTTTGCAAATCTGGACAAAAACTGCCAGTGAAGGAGTCTCAGCCCCCAGACCAAGTGTCTGTCCAGAGGGGCCAGACATTAAATGTTACAGTCAACTTCTGACAGCCACCATGGAGAAGAGCCCACCTTTCCCTTGACCTCCAGCTCTGCTGCTCTGTTTGGAGTGAGTCTCTGCTGTCAGCCAGAGCTCGTGGCACCATGATGAGAGGAACCCTCTGCATGCAGGGTCTCAGCAGGCTGAAGTGGTGTTCCTTACAGTTACTATTCTTCTGTCTGGGAAACTCAGAACTTCACTCACTCCTACTCCTGGGACTTTCCCTGTTCCCTGAAGGGGCAATCCCAGCAGCTATGCTGGCTGCAGGCAGAGAGGTCTGTGGCTGGGGGAGAAATTTCCCACTTGTCAAGAACAAAGTGTTTTGTGACCCAGGGGAAGAAAGGGATGGGAGGGAACTGTTTGGAAGAAGACCAGGGAGTGAAATTCAGACTTCAGATTGGCTTCAGGTTCTCCACTGCTTTTGGTTGAACCTCTGGGACCTGCTCTTTCAGGTGCTTCCTCTGTCCTTGTACTATCAGTGGAGGAAAATGGGCAATCCTTTATTGATCTGACAGAGGGCAGGGTTAGATGGATACTCCCTGTGAAAGTGGTGAGCCCTGGCACAGGTTGCCCAGAGAAGCTGTGGCTGCCCCATCCCTGGAAGTGTCCAAGGCCAGGTTGGATGTTGCTTGGAGCAACCTGGTCTAGTGGAAGGTGTCTCTGCCCATGGTAGGGGGATGGAATGAGACGAGCTTTAAGGTCCCTTCCAACCCAAACCATTTTATGGTTCTATAATATGCAGCACAGGTAAGAAGGGTCCTGCCCCAGGATCCTCTGAGCTGTATCAGGGACTCTGCACAGGAATTGTTTGGCTCCATGGGGTGTTTGGAACATGAATTTTCAAAGGTGACAAGGGGAAGCACGCCCAGGGCTCATCCCTGGGAGGAGAAAAGCAAGGAGGCATGTGGAAGCAGGGCATCTTCATCCCAGCTGCTCGGTTCTCTGCAGTCCCCTGGAAAAGTACCTCTCTGGCATGTTATTCTGGAGCTACAAGAGGGCAGGAGAGCCTGTGCAGTGGCAGTCTGCAGTGCTACCGAGCTCCCATCTCCCTCTGGAGCATCCCTCAGTGCCTGGGTAGACAGAGTGCACTGGGATGACTCCTTGTTCATCTCTCCCAGACACCACACTTGGTCAACCTAAATGAGGATCCGCTCATGTCCGAGTGTCTTCTCTACTACATCAAGGATGGGATAACAAGGTGAGGCCAGGTTCTGTGGAGCGGTGGGAGCCTTGTCCATATCTCAGTGCCTGACTTCCCCAGTTGATCAGCAGAGTGACAGCTATCCCCAGGCACTGTTCCCAGGGCATCCCGAAAGTGCCATGGCCACATGTATTTGCCTGGGGATCTCGTTTGGGATGTTGGTCTTGCTGTGCACCAAGGGTTGCTCTTGTCAGCCCCAAGGATGGGTTGGAGGGAAGACTCAGGAGGGGCTGCTTTGAGGAAGGATTGAGCTGGGTTACCCCCACAGGGTTGGCCGAGAAGATGCTGAGAAGAGGCAGGACATCGTTCTCAGCGGGCACTTCATTAAAGAAGAGCACTGCCTGTTCCGCAGTGACACCAAAACAAGTGGTGAAGGTATTGTTTGTCTGGAGGGGCCCCACTGCCCAGGGGACCCTCCCCTCTGCATGTCCCTAGCACTTGCCCCCAGCCAGGGGTCCTGCTCTCCTCAAACTAGTGGGGATTTCCTGCATGGATGTGGCATCTCCATGCTTCCAGAGTGAGCTACAACCCTCATGGATGGGACAAGAGCTTGTGCAAGGCATGTGGGAGCAAGGCAAGGCAGGGAGATCAGGGAGATCCTGGCTGAGCAGTCTGTAGATGACTCCCCTGCCCAAGACATGGAGCAGAGTCCACCTTCCAAAATGGCAGGAACCTGGGGATGAAGAGGCTGTGGGAGATGAGCCTGGGGAGGACGGAGTTGCCTTTTGGAGGCTCTGGCCACCTCTCACATTTAGTTTCCAGCTGCCAGTAGTCCTTGGGACTGCTCTGATTAACATCAGGTTGTCTGAGTCCCATTGGCTGCCTCAGGTGCGGGTGCTGCTGATGGGAACTGTAAGTGTTCCCCCATGCTTGGGGTGCTGCCTGGGGTGGCTCTCATTTTCCAAGGCTGCCAGAGCAGCAGAGCAGGAGATGCAGAATTTATCCTTCTGTTTCCACTTTACCTCCCTCTCCCCTTTCCACCACCTCCTCAGTGATAGTGACCCTGGAGCCCTGCGAAGGTGCTGACACCTATGTGAATGGCAAAAAGGTGACAGAGCCCAGCATCCTGCGCTCAGGTGGGTCCCTGGGGCCGGCACGCTGGTGCTGCTCCAACCCACCTCCCTCCCTCTACGGGGGGCCATGCACTTGTTCCACATTAAACCCACGCTGTTCTCCCACAACTCACGCATCCCTGCAGGAAACCGCATCATCATGGGGAAGAGTCATGTCTTCCGATTCAACCACCCCGAGCAGGCTCGGCAGGAGCGGGAGCGGACCCCCTGTGCTGAGACCCCCGCAGAGCCCGTGGACTGGGCGTTTGCCCAGAGAGAGCTGCTGGAGAAGCAGGGCATCGACATGAAACAGGAGATGGAGCAGCGGTGAGAACACGGGCTGGGGTGCTAGGGAGTTGGATGTCCACCTCCAGGTTGGTCATCTTCTCCTTTCCCTTTTCCACCTAGGCTCCAGGAGCTGGAGGACCAGTACCGGAGGGAGCGGGAAGAGGCAAACTACCTTTTGGAGCAGCAGAGGCTGGTAGGTGGCCAGGACCTGGCTCCTTCTCAGACTGCCCAGGCATGACTGAAGTCCTGGCAGATGTTTGCATGGGGTGGCTCTGTGTGTTCTAAATACAAGGGCAAACCTGTCGTTCCTGGAGTTGTCCTCACAAACACAGATACAGAGGAGGGAGGAGGCTGGGATCCTGCGAGGGGGAGTAGTGTGATGTGGCAGCATGGAGTAAGGTCACATCAGTGGGTTGCATCACCCTTCCTCCTGCTTCTTCCAGGACTATGAGAGCAAACTGGAGGCCTTACAGAAGCAGATGGACTCTAGGTATTACCCTGAGGCAAACGAGGAAGAGGAAGAACCTGAGGATGAGGGTGAGGGCTGAGTGATACCACAAGATTTTGATGCTCTCTGTGGGAGCATGAAGAGTGGACTGTGGGTGCCCTGGGCACCGATGTCCTGGCAGTGGGGTGACTGTTGCTCTTGTGTCCCCACAGTGCAGTGGACAGAGCGGGAGTTCGAGCTGGCCCTTTGGGCCTTTAGGAAGTGGAAGTGGTACCAGTTCACCTCCCTCCGTGACCTGCTCTGGGGCAATGCCATCTTCCTCAAGGAAGCCAATGCCATCAGTGTGGAACTGAAAAAGAAGGTGGGTGGCAGGGCTCTTCTCTGGCTTGCTGCAGCACCCACAGCAGAGGCCAAGAGAATGGGCAGCTGGGAAGTGCTGAAGAGGGGGTCGCCAGAGGCACCACCCTCTGCCCTCCCAGGTGATTCACTATTCCTTCTGCCTCTCTCCAGGTCCAGTTCCAGTTTGTGCTCCTCACAGACACACTGTACTCACCTCTCCCTCCTGACCTGCTGCCTCCTGACGCTGCCAAGGACCGGGAGAAGCGGCCGTTCCCCCGGACCATTGTGGCCGTAGAGGTGCAGGACCAGAAGAATGGGGCAACACACTACTGGACCCTGGAGAAGCTGAGGTGGGCAAGTGATGGCTGTGCCAGGAGGCCTTGGGTGCCTGCAGCCCTATGTCTGATCATTGCCATCTCTGTCCCCTCTCCCTGCAGGCAGCGCCTGGACCTGATGCGTGAGATGTATGACCGAGCAGCAGAAGTGCCTTCCAGCGTCATCGAGGACTGTGACAACGTGGTGACTGGTGGAGATCCTTTCTACGACCGCTTCCCCTGGTTCAGGCTGGTCGGCAGGTGAGCGCTTTGGCTCCTTTGAATTGTGGCTGGGACCCACAGGTGGTCCTGTAGGAGGACGTGGTGCCAGCGCTGCCCACCACGTGCAGGGCATCCATCCCCCCGTGGCACCCCCGTGCCCACCTTACCTGCGATCGCTGTCCTCCACATTGGCTGCTGGGACCCCAAGGGACCCAAGAGCTGCTGGCAACGCTTCTGCTGCCTGCCCTGACCCAGTGCTGGGAGCCATGGGCTCTGGGCTTGGTGGGCTGCAGGGGTCGTGGCTGTCCAGCAGGCTGAGAGCCCGTGCCAGCTGCGACCTCCACCCCAGTGGGCACACGTCCTTGCGCACACACTGGTGTCTGAGCATCTGTCTGTACAGTATGTGCCACGTGTCTCCTTGTGCTTCCCGCACGGCGGTTGGAAGGGTCCAATGCCAGCAATGAAGATGGGCCACCCCAGAAAAAGGGTCTGCCCCGGCGGGCAGGGGGATCAGGGGGCTAAGCTGCATGGCCTGGAGGCATCCCCCCGTGCTGCAGCACAGGGAGAGATTCCCTCCAGCAGGAGGGGTGGTGGCGAGCCTTGTGCCACCCACTCCACCCCTGCATTTCCTGCAAAGCCAGCAAGGGGAGTCCCCAACATTCACACCAGTTCCTTGGGTTGTTTTTTTCTCCAGCCGTTGGTGGCTTTAGAGATGCATCAGATGGGCAGGTCTTTGTTCCCAATGTCCCTTGATTTAAGTAGACAAAAAACCCGCCCCAAAACCCAACCAAAAAAAAAAAAAAAAAGCAAAATTCCTGTTCTTTCTGTTTGGAACAGCTGGTGTTAACCTGTCTTCTATCTTGTTGTACTAACCTTAGTTCAGATATCTCTGGCTGCAACAGCTCTCCTCTTTTCAACACATGCATGAGCGAGCGCATGGCTGATCTCACCCCCTCCCCTACCTTCTCGAACCCCGACTCCGACATCACCGAGCCTGCTGACGAGCAGCACCAGGGGCAGGAGGAGGAGGAGGAGGAGGAGGACCTGGAGGAAGACATCTTTCCGGAGTGCCCGCTGTGTGATGGCCGGGATCCGTTTTACGACCGCTTCCCCCTGTTCAGTTTAGTAGGAAGGTTGGTGAGGTTTTAGGAGAGCATGCCGGGAAGGACCTAGCTCTTTCGCATGAGGGAACTGCTTTTGGACACGACTCCCACCTCCAGGGCATCCTAGAGGTGAAGGGGGTGGCAGGCTGGGATTGCCACCAAGCCCGGACGCCTGGTCGGTGGTGAGATGCCCGCTGAGGTAGGGCTGTGAGGAGCACAGCAGTGGCAAGGAATGGCAAGATGAGGTGGATGGCACCTGCCTTTAGGCAGGTCCCTCTTTGGGGACACCTTGAGAAGGGAAGCTCTGCTGCATGTCCATCACTGAAGGAGCTGGGAAGTCTCGATCCTGGGTGTTTCTGTCCCAGGGGGGGCCACCTCCTGCCCAGCTCAGGGTGGCCCAGTGGTGCCACTTGCTGGGAACATGCAGGGACTTAAAAACCCTGTGTGCCTCTGGCTCTGGCTTGGCCATCCCAGCTGTGTTGGTCAGCATGAGTCCCCCAGATGCGGAGGCTTGGATGTCCCTAGGTGGTTGAGAGGATGAAGCTGAGGGGGGTGAGCAGAGAGCCGGGTGCAGGAGGGAGTGCCAGAAGTGGCCTTTGCTCTTGCCGCTTTTACCCAGTGCTTAGCTTGGGTTTGGCACAGGGGATGTCCAGGGAGGTCGTGGGCACCTGGGTGCAGGCTCCAACTCTTCTTTGGCTCCGGCCAAGGACAAGAGCTTTGATTTCTCATACCTGTTGGCTGGGAGTCCCTACTGGGCTCCAGCAGTCTTGGCCCTGAGAAGCCCACCAGCTGCCCCAAAGCTGGCTGTGCCGCCAAACTTGGAGCCATCTGCCCATCCCCAGAATGGGATGTGGTGCTGCCAGCTCTCTCTGGGGTTTTCCCAAGGGAGTGTGTGCCAGGAGCTAGTCCCAGAGCCTTTCCCCCAGGCTGGGGCTCCCTGAATGGGCTGATCTGGGGCTCCTTTTCCTTGGTGTGCCAGAGCCAGGCCATGTGGTGGGGAGGAGGGGCCAGAGCAGGCAGAGAGGGCGGAGGTGGGGTAAGAGTCCTGCAGCCTCAGACCGAAAGAGCTGGGTTCTTCCCGTTTTCTTTTCTTTTTTCCTTTTTTCCTTATTAAAAAAAAAAAAAAAATCAAAACAATCTCGAAACTGTCAAGGGCACCTCAAAAAACCAAACAAGGCCCTGTGGCAGCGGCCCCACTCCGTGCCGGGGGCATGTTCCCCAGAGCTCAGCGCCTTCCAACTTCTTTTGAGTCTGCCCTGGGTTTGGCTCCCCCTGCAGCAGCTCTGCTGGCCACATTTCTTGTGAAGTGTGCTTGGATTGGTTTATGATTGGATACTTTGTCCTTGATTTTTTCCCTTTCTTTCTTTTTTTTTTTCTTCTATTTTTTTTCATTTTGGTTATTTTAAGGGGATTTTTATTCTTTTTTTAGCTGCTGGCTCTCTCTCTTCAAAGCTTTAGCGAAAATTGGGGTTATTTCACTTTTGTCTTCCTTTGGAAAGGCTTTTCTTTGGTCTGAGCATGCCATCTTTGCACCTCACCAATCTTGTGGTTAGTGTCCCTGCCCTCCTTCCTCTAGTGAAACACTTGTCCCCCTCCTCCCTGCCTGCCCCACTTCCCTCCCACTTTTCCCTGCCCTCTCCACCCCTCGGCTTTCACACCAGCTGCCCTGTGATTTCGGGTGGGCGGCTGCACCCAGATCCCTGTGCTTCTGAGAGCTTCCCTGGGCATGTGGTCCCGCCAGGAAGCCCTGGCATGGTCCAGCCACTTGTCCCTGGTAGCATCTGAGAAGAGATGCGGTGAGACGGGCCCATCAGGAGACGTTCATTTGGCTTCACCTGCTTGAGACCTCGGAGACACTTTGCATGGAAAAAGCCTCGAGCAGCAGTTGGAGGTCAATGGGAGTCATCAGAACAGGGGGAACCTCTGGACTTTGGGGATCGGGGTGCAAACGTAGGGCTGCAAGAGCCCCTGGGCACTCTGGGGTACCGTTGAAATGTCTGAGAAGACTCCTGTGAGGTTGGGATGCCCTGAGCAGCACTGCCAGCCGCCTGGAGTTGCAACCTCCATGAAAGCCTCCTGAAGCAGAGGTGTCCTGACCAGCCCCAGCACCATCCCACCCCACAACACCCGATGACACTGCGTGTCAAGATGCTGGTGGGTGCCCCAGGGAGAGGTGCTGGACACCCCACACTCCGTCTTGCTGGGAGCGGTGCTGGCTAGTTTGCACCTCTCGGCAGGGAGCTCGGCGCCAAAGGTGACTTGTCACTGTCAAGGGTATGGAATGCCACCATGGCCAGAGCCAGAGGACCGTCGGACTGCTGGCAGTGAGGTGGAGGGAGGCAGCAAGAGGACCCAAAACACTTGAGAAACAGGGAGCTGTGGCCTGGCAGGAGGTGCTGGCACAGACATGTTGCAGCCATCATGTTTGGACCTCTCCATGGCAGCACTTGGTGACCTGTATGCCACAGAGTTCAGCAGGGAGGCTCAGACCTGCCAGGCATGCCATCCATCCCTGGGACATGCTGACAGGTGGCCTGGGACCCCGAAGCCATGTGTGAGAAGGGATGGGGAGGGGGGACACAGGCCACCCATGCTGCCAAGTCACGCCATGCGGCCTTCCTTCCACTGGTCCTGCGACACTGTGGACAGAGCCAGGGCCAGGAACCCCCAGCAGGTTCATCTCTGAAGACTTCTGGCCTCTGTCCAGAACCTCCTCCTCTCACCTCCTTTGCTCCTGCCAGCCTCCATCTCCCTTCTCACCCACCCTTCCCCCGCCTTGCCCCGTCCTCCCCACAGTGACTCCGCAGCCACGCCCTAGTTGTGTCACAGCACCTCCTGCCCAAGTCCTCCAGCTCTCCACCACAGAGAAGGTCCTCTTGCCCTCCAGCTTCATGGTGGCACCAGTGCAGCCCCCTCCAGTCCTGCCTGCCACGGAGGTGACAGCTGGAGAGGTCCGCAAACCTAGTGTGTTCTGTGGTGCTGCCTGCGGCGTGTGCCGCCCTCCTGCCCACCCTCCCGCCTGCGACACGCTGCCCGCCCGCTGCCCCCCACCCCCTCGCCTGGCCCTGGCTGCCTTCTCTTTAGTTTTGCTTTGCAGCAGCGCGGTCGTGCCCTGAGCGGTGACCTGGGATCCCGGCCGCTGCCGGCCACGCCAGCCATGCCTGGGGACCTGCGGGTGGGAGCAGTGACCATTCTCCCCCCTTGTTCTGTGCTCCCCCCCCTTCTCTGGCAGGGCCTTCGTCTACCTGAGCAACCTCCTCTACCCTGTGCCCCTCGTCCATCGCGTGGCCATCGTCAGCGAGAAGGGTGAGGTGAAGGGCTTCCTGCGTGTGGCTGTCCAGGCCATCTCAGGTAGGAGAGAACGCTCCCAAAATGTGCCCCTTGCATCCCCTGCACCCCCTGTGCTGGCTCACTCCCATCTCTCCACCAGCTGATGAAGAAGCCCCTGACTATGGCTCTGGTGTGCGGCAATCGGGGACAGCCAAGATCTCCTTTGATGACCAGCACTTTGAGAAGGTACGGCGGGGCCAGCTCTCAGTGGGTGTCCAGGGACCCCAGACCTCTGCCTGCCACCACGATGCTCCCCACAGGCAACCCCAGGCTTCTAGAGGGGCAGGCATCGTGGGAAAGGGACCACCAGGCAGACCCCAAACCTTGGGCACCCACCCATGCACCCCACTCTCGCCCGTGTCCCAGAGGGGCTGCCGCGGGGTGGGAGGGGAGAGCTGGCGGTGCCCTGGTGCTTGGGGCGCTGGCAATGGTGCAAGCGGGACCACTCTGGGGACCACCAGCATCCCTGAGCACCACTTCTGGCACAGTTCCAGTCGGAGTCGTGCCCTTCCGTGGGGATGTCTCGCTCGGGGACCTCTCAGGAGGAGCTGCGCATTGTTGAAGGCCAGGGGCAGGTCAGCGACTTGGGTCCCTCTGCCGATGAGGTCAACAACAACACCTGCGCAGGTGAGGAGGTGTGACAGGCAGGCTGGGAGCAGTCCCCTGCCCCAGAACCCAGCCTCTCGCACCCACCCCAGCATCAACAGCCTACTGCCCCAGTGTGGGGCTGCTGGTAGACACCAAAGGGGTGATCCCCTGCCTTGCTAAGGGCCTCCCCATCCCTGCAGTGACCCCAGAGGACCTTCTCCTGGACAGCCCTGAGAAACCTGTGCCAGATGGCCCACTGGAGGTGGCTCTGGACCACCTGAAGCTGGGCAGCATCTTCACTTTCCGTGTGACAGTCCTGCAAGCCTCCAGCATCTCTGCAGAATATGCAGACATCTTCTGCCAGTTCAAGTGAGCCCCAAGTGCCCCACAGCCCTGCATTGCCCACCATGCCCCAGCCATCACCTGGGAGCTGGTGGTGAATGTTAGGAAGCCCTACTCCCTCACCTGTGAGCCCTCTGTGGATGGGAAGGCAAAACCAAGGGCCGTGGAATGTGCCAGTGCCCTTGTTCAGTTGCTGGCAAAAGGCAGGGAGAGACTTTGGGGAGTGCTGCACCAGCCAAGGGTGCAGGTGGCAGCCCCAGGGGGAGCAGGCTCTTGTCCTGGTTCCTGCCTTCACTCCCCTCCCTGCTCTGCCACATCACCATCCCACAGCCCCCAAGCCACCTTCCTTCCCTCCACAGCTTCATCCATCGTCACGATGAGGCCTTTTCGACAGAACCCTTGAAGAACACGGGACGAGGACCACCACTGGGCTTCTATCACGTCCAAAATGTGCGTAGCTCTCCCCTTCCACCCCTTTGCCCCTGTGGCTGTTGGGGTCTTTGCAGGGCCATTGGCTGGATCTTCTCCCCAGGGCAGCAGGTTCCTGCTGGCTTTCCCAGCCCTTCACAGCCACTCACCTAAGCCAGCCTTAGATGGTGGATGTGCAAGGGAGGGACCAAAAACCTCTGCTGTCCTCCCTAAAAGGCTGGGATTTCACAGCAGTGGTCTTGGTGGGGAGAGCATCCCTGAATGGGTGAGGAATGAAGGGAACTGATAGGTTTGAACCTCCCAAGGGTGCTGTTACTGGCTCTATCCCCTTTCCCAGCTAAACTGTGCCGGCGGTGGCTCTTTCTCTTCTAGATTGCTGTGGAGGTGACCAAATCCTTCATCGAATACATCAAGAGCCAGCCAATTGTGTTCGAGGTGTTTGGCCACTACCAGCAGCACCCCTTCCCACCTCTCTGCAAGGACGTCCTGAGGTGGGCACAGCCCCAACCCCTGGCTGCTCCAGGTGCAGCAGGCTGCCTGGGGACCCAAAAAAGGGTGGCCCCAAGGCATAGGTGGGGTTGGCCAGGTTTAGGGATCCCTAGGAATGCTTTATCCAAGCTGGTTCTGTCTGCAGCCCACTGAGACCGTCCCGGCGCCACTTCCCCCGTGTGATGCCACTCTCCAAACCAGGTAGGGAACCTGGCCTCCTACTCCTGTGCCCGCCCATAGTTCCAATGCTGGGTGCAGGGTCCCCTTCCTCATATGGACCAGTTAGGACTGCAGGGGCACCAGAAAATGTTCTGTGGGTCAGAGCACCCAAAAACCCTAGACACTAATTTCTGCAATACTTAGCAGATGCAAAGGCCCCATCTCAACTCCTGCAGAGCAGCAGGGAGAAGGCTCTTTGTCCTGGGTGGCTCAGATGTCCACCCAGCCCCACCGTCCCACAGGGATGTTGGGGTCCCCGCAGCACTGGCTGCTGAGACCCCAGTTGCAGGGGTTTGGCTGTTCAGTCATCACACCAGCACTAGGGGAGCCTCCCACTGGTTGTCCCCAAACAGTCCCTGGAGCTGCACTGTATGGTTTGGGATGTGTTCATGCTGAGACTGCAGGCACTTTGGTGTGCATCCTGGGGATGGGTGAGGCCAGCCTCATGCTGACACGCTTGGTGCCCCATGTTTGGCAAGGGAGAAGGCATTCCAGTGATTGGCAAGGTCCCTGGGATGACGCTCTTGTTGCCGCCTCTGCATGTGTTCCCACGGTCCCTGTCTGCTCTGCCCTTTCCCTGCCATCGTGTGCCTCACTCCAAATGCCAGCGGTGGGCTCAACCTCTTAGCTGTCTTTCCAACCCCCTGCAGTGCCTGCAACGAAGCTGAGCACCATGACTCGGCCCAGTGCTGGCCCCTGCCAGTGCAAGTACGACCTGATGGTCTTCTTTGAGATCTGTGAGCTGGAGGCCAACGGCGAGTAAGTCCTGCTGGGAAAGGGAGGCAACGGGATTTGCCCAGTGCTCAGCACCTCTGGGCAGGCTGGCAGGGCTCTGTGTCACGCTACAATCTCTTCCAGCTACATCCCTGCTGTCGTGGACCACCGTGGAGGCATGCCATGCCATGGGACCTTCCTCCTCCACCAGGTACCCTCTGCCCAAGATGCTGTCCTGGCTCTGACTCCTGCTGGGACCTGTGTTAACCACTGTCCCTTCTCTCTGGCCTCGCGGGTCTCAGGGCATCCAGCGGAGAATCACCGTCACCTTGGTGCATGAAACAGGCAGCCTCATCCGCTGGAAGGAAGTGCGGGAGCTGGTTGTGGGTAAGCCCAGCCAGCCTCCAGCCCCACCAAGCTCCTAGTCATCTTCTCGGGCTGTTTCACATTCCCGTGTTCCCACATTCCCAGGCGGGGCTTCACACCTCATCTCCCCTCCTGCCCTGCAACAGCAAAGCGGCAGCTGCCTGGCAGGTGGCACCAGGACACTGCATGGGCAGGGCACCTCACCCCCTGCCACCGTGTCCAGGAGCTGGACAAGGATCTCCAGTGCTGAATGGCCAAGTGCTGGGCAACCGCTGTCTCTGACAGGGGGGCTGCAGTCAGGTGGTCTACCCCTGTCTTCGCAGGGACCCTCACAGGGCCACTGCCCATCCTCTGAGAGGTGTCCTTGTGCTGTGTTTGCAGGTCGAATTCGGAACACCCCAGAAGCAGACGAGTCACTCATTGACCCCAACATTCTGTCCCTGAACATCCTCTCCTCCGGGTACATCCACCCCTCCCAGGATGACCGGTGCGTGATGCTTCCTTTCTTGCTCTTCCCCTGCTGTGGTGAGGGATGGAGGGGGGCAAGTAGTAGCCCCTCTCTTCCCTGGAAAGCTCTTGGCCCCTCTGCAGGGTCCCGCTGACCCCTTGCTGCCTTGAGGCAGGGTTTTTCTGGAGCTGCTTGGTGTTCAGGGCTGCCAGCCCCCTTCCTCCTCCTCCCTAAGGCCTCGCTGTGCTGGGGAGGGCACTACAGGGAATTTGTGTGTGGGTGCTGCTCTCTGGTACCAGCTGTGACCGCCTGACACAGCCACTTGGTGCCAGTGCTGGGAGGACGTCTCACCTCTGTGGCTGGGGGGGACCTGCCACATGGGTTATTTGTCCCATGTCCCAGCAAACTTGCTGTAAAGGACACTTGGTGCCCACAGCAGGTCCATCTGTGTGGAAGTGCTGCAGGAAAGCTATTCCCATCGGTGTGGATGACTCTGGGGATGCCCACCCCTTCCTGCCTGTCCCAGGGGGCTGTGCCATAGAGTCAGAGAACCACAGAGTGGCTGGGGTTGAAAGGGACCTTAAAGATCATCTTATTCCAAACACCCTGCTATGGGCAGGGACACCTTCCACTAGATCATGTTGCTTAGAGGTGTCCCTGCTGTAGGTTTGGCACGATGTAAAAGCAGTGGGACTGGAAGATTTTTATGTCTTAAGATCTCCCTGGCTGGGTCCTTTGGTGGCAGGGGGAGCAGTGGATGCAGAGAGCAGAGTTCTCCTCTGCACCAGGGCTACTGGTGAAACTCAGGGGACTGATGGGAGTCTCTGGCCAGAATGTGTTGGTGTGGCAGCCGTGACAAAATGAGGATGGTCACTGCCAGCACCAGGAGCAGCAGGACTGGTCCTCGGCTGTGTGCATTGTGGTTGCTGGTGTAGGAGCATCCTGGTGAGGGATCCCTTTTCTTTTTTTGGGTCACCACTGCCCCAAGGAGGCCCGTCCCAAGGCCGGGTGTTTTGAGGGGGAATGATAGGGGTCTGGATGGGAGGTGCTACCCTGAGCACTCTCAGGCAGTTCTTGGACATGGCAGAGTGACCCACACAGAGTGCCTGGGCAGCAGAGCCAAGTCATGGGGTCAGCGTGTGTGCAAGTATCGGACCAGGAGACTTTGTCACAGCCTTGGGGATACAGAAGGAGGCCACATAGGGATGGTCAGGAGAGGAAGGACTGGCCCAGTGGAGCAATGGTGGCTTTTTCGCTCGGAGCTGGGTGGCTGTGGCACCCACAGGCTCTTGGGGCTGCGCTGTGTTTTGTCAGCTCCTGATCTGGCCAGCTGGTCCCAGATGCAGCCAAATGTCATGTCTAGGGTAGCCTGGCAGGAGTGACATGCTTCCTGCTCTGCCTTCCACCCCACAGGTCCTGCAGGACAAGGGGACACAACTCGGGCTGAGGGGATGCTTGGGGTGTGAAGAGGAGCATGGAGACAGGGGGCTTGGATTTTGCCTCTGCACGCTCAGAGAGCCTGTGCCTCAGTGCAGCCCCAATTTGGGGGCACAGGCTGGCGTGCATGCCATATCCATCCCATATCCATCCCATGGAGCCCATGCCCATGGCTGGGCAGGGAGGAGGGCACAGCCAGCTGCCCACAGGGCACTAGCTGTGGTGCCCCCGCTTTCACCCACATGCAGACACGCATGCTTCGCCCTGCAGCTGTGAGGCCAGGCAGAAGGAAGGCAGAAGGCAGGGATAGTGCCCACTTCACCCTCCTCCCAGCCGCTTGCGCTCCCCGCTTTGCTGCCTTGTGCCACGCAGCCTCCATTGCCTGGAGCAGCTCTAGCTCCCCCCCTGCAGCCTCCCCAGTCCCCCAGAGCCACTCAGAAGGAGGCTGGGGGAGCGGTTCCAGCTCTCTCCCCAGTACCCATCCATTCCTGCCTCAAGCGCCCAGAGAGGAGGCCCCAGAGGAGGCATGGGGGGCAGTGCCTGGTGTCCCCCCTCGCTTTCCTCAGCTGCTGCTGCCCATCCAAGCCCACACTAACCATGTAATTGTTTTGTGTTTTTGCAGGCAGTTTCTTGATTCGGATATGCCTAGGTATTATTTGTTTCCATTGGGTTTTTTTCCACTCCCCCTTCTTCTCTCCTTTCTTTCTTTCTACCCCCTTGCCTCGGCACGCTCACTCCCGCCGGAGGCAGCATTTGGACATCCAGCCCCTCATCCCTCCACATGCCCCATCCCTCCTCCCTCCTGCCCTGGCACCTCTCGCTCACTTGGCCCCTTTTGCTGTTTGTTTGGGCCACGCTCTGGCTGGCTGCCGCTCACCCTCGCACGCCTGCGTCCCCATTGCCTGATTTTGGTTTTATTCTTGCTTTTTGACTTCGCTACTCTCCCATCTCTTTGGCATACGGCACCAAGCGTGCCAGACCCTCGTTGTCTCTTGCCCCAGCCCCAGCTCGGCCCCTGATGCCACTTGGAGTAGCTGCAGGGCTGGTGTGGACAATGGGAGTTTTGGGGCATGTCCTGTCCTCTCCTGGGCACTTGGTGACAATGGCAGTTGGTGTGGCAGCAGCTGGCCACCCCGTGACAGTTGTCCTGGGGGTGTAGGTTTGGCGTACGGGCAGTGTGTCTGTACACAGGTGTGGCAGTGGGTGCGCACACCTGTACCACGGCACAGGCTGTTGTACCCCTGTGTGAAGGGGCAGCAGCTGTTCCAGAACTGCAGGCTTTAGCTGGGACTGCTGGGTGAGCCTGGTGAGTGGCGTGTGGGTGAGAGGCGCCAGAGCTGGGAATGTGCCAGCAGCTTCTGGATGGGAGCATTGCCGAGGGCCTGGAGGAGGGGGCGTCTCACCACTGTGCCCCACGATGGAAGAAGAGGGGGATGTGCCTGGGAGACAAGGGACGGGATGCCCTGAGTTCTGGTGGGCTCCGTAACTTTGTGCCTGGGAAGTTGTCCTCCTTACAGCAACTCAAAGCTGGTCCTGCTCAGAGGTGTCAAAGGGCAGAGCTGTCCCTCCAGCTGTCCCCTCTCAGCTGAATGCAGCACCCCCACTGCAGGAGAGGTTGCCCATGGTCTCTCAGCACAGTGATGGTCTCCCTGTGGACCCAGAGACAGGCCAAGAAATCATTTGCTGCGTGGGTGGTGGTAGGATGGCTGTTCCCCCACAACTGGCACCGTCCCAGGGGATTGTGCTGGGTGGGAGCTCTTTGCCCTGCAATGGCATGAGGGTGGTTAAGGGGATAGGGAGCACATGTGTTTGCTTCCCAGCTGCTGGACCGTGAGGAAAATGGGAGGCTGAGGGTCTCCACCCGGATGGGTAAGCCTCTGTCTGCCCTCGCCGAGCTCCTTTTGGGTTCCCATTTGGGGTCCAGCTAGGCAGGAGCTCCCTTGGCCAGCAGTGCTAATACGGGTTGAGTCCCTTCAAAAGGGGCTCTTCTGACCTGTCATTTCTCTGTATGTGTATGTGTGTGTGTTTGTCCTTGGGTCGCCTTCCACTTATAGCATTTCGCTGGGAAATGACACTAGGTATTTCACGCGCACCTGCTCGGTCTGGTCCCTCCTGCTTTTTTCTCTTTCCCCTTTGCCTCCTCCCTTTGCTTTTTGCTCTTCCTCCCCTCCCCTGAGGTTCCTCTTTTCCTCCTCCTCCTTGGGGAGTGCTCTCTTCTCAAACGACCCGTGTCTGCAAAGCAATCCCTCGCCTTGGCTCTGTCTCACGCCAGGGGATTTTATGTATTTTATACACCTCTGAAAGCGTCACTCTCCTTCTTCTTCTAAAGCCAGGGAATTTACAGTTAAGAGCCTCTCCCTGCTCCTGCTGGCTGCCCCGGCTCCTGTTAAAATTGCTCCTCAGTCACCTGGATGCTACTTTGGGGACATGCTGAAGTGAGACATGGCTGAGCCATGGCTTCCTGAGGATGCTTGGTCAAGAGCCAGGGCTGAGGCAGCTCTGGGTGGCTTTGGGGAGTGGGTGCACCATAAAGCCACGGCTGGCCTGGGAGGGAGCCCTGGAGTGCGGTATGGGGTGAAACGAGGATCCCCCATGCTCTCTTAGTGGAGCCACCTCCTGCTTCCCCTACTCTCGGTTGCCCACCCAAGGAGGGCAGCTGCCACTCTGGCTCTGGGTGGCTGCACTGTCCTCTCTGGGACCCTGTAGGTTTAGGTGAGTGGGACTGGGTGTCCCCTGCTCCTTCTTTCAGCCTGGGAGCCATGGAAGACACAGCAAGGGGCCTGAGGCAGCAGGGTGAGAATGGGGCTGGCGATGAGGGCAGACCAAGAGCCAGGGGAGACAGCCTGACAAGGGCCAGCCACCAAATCATGGTCCCCAGCTTCTTGCTGGGGCCCAGGGCTGGCAGACTGGGGCAGCCCTGAGGAAAGGGACCTGGCTGGTGGGGGGGGGGGGCTGCACGCCCAGAGGTGGGCTGGCAGCAGCCTCCCAGTGCTGAGCATCCTCCTTCCTTTCCCTTCTGGCCATTGTCACCCGAGTGGCAGCAGCCGCTCCTGGCAGGGGCTGAGGGCTGCTATGTGCCCCAGGCTGGAGGGTGGGGACTGGCACGGGTGCACTGGGGATGGCAGCCCCCTGCTCTGAGCACGGGGATGGGGCATGAACCCTCCTTTGCCCTCCTTTGCCTTCCCAGCCTGCTCTGCCTTGCCTGCACCCCAGCTGAGCCCCCACTCCTCCCACGGTCCCTCCTCCCCAAAACCCCATTGGCCATTTTGAGGGTGCCATGTCCTCCTCCTACCACACCTTGTGCCCTTTGCTTTGAGCCTGTGTCCTCTGGAGTGGCTGTCCCCACCTGTCCCCACTGCACATGCATGTCTGTGTGTCCTTGCAGGCCTGCTGCAGCGCTGTGGGGGGACAATGGCAACTTCTTGCTTGCTCGCTCGCCAGAGGTTCCAGGGGTGTTGTTTTACCGGCCTTGCTGGGTTTTTTTGGCAGGACTTTCTACCAGTTTGAGGCGGCGTGGGATAGCTCCATGCACAACTCGCTGCTGCTCAACCGTGTCACTCCGTACCGGGAGAAGATCTATATCACCCTGTCAGCCTACATCGAGGCAAGGACCTTGGCTGGGGTCATTATACACCAACAAAGTCTGGTATTTCCCCTGCCATTGGGGTGCAGCCAGCATGAGCTTGTCTTAAGCCAGTGCTTATGCAGTGCAGGGTTCAGCTTGTATCTTGGGGGCCCTCTGGAACTCTGGGAGTGGAAACTGCTGGGAACAGGGGTGGGAGAGACTTGCTGGGCAGCCCCCCTGATGCCTCCCCTCTGCCCTGCTGCAGATGGAGAACTGTACTCAGCCCGCTGTCATCACTAAAGACTTCTGCATGGTTTTCTACTCCCGGGATGCCAAACTTCCTGCCTCCCGCTCCATCCGCAATCTTTTTGGCAGTGGCAGCCTGCGGGCTTCTGAGAGGTACCGGGATGCTCCTGCCTTTTGGGGACAGGCGAGCCCTCACCCAGGGACTGGAGTTGTCCTTTCATCCAGCAGCCTGGGTGAAATAACTGGGGTGTGGGAATGGGGCAGAGCCAGTAACGCTTCATCTCTCTTTGCTCACAGCAACCGTGTGACCGGAGTCTATGAGCTCAGCCTCTGCCGTGTGGCCGATGCTGGCAGCCCAGGTGAGGGCCATGCCTCTGCCCAGGTGTTCACCTGGGTCTGGGAGGCACAGCCAGGCATTTGGGTTGGAGGCTGTGCATCTGCCCCCGCCCCCCAGCTGTGTGTGTGTGCCCGCAGGGATGCAGAGACGGCGCCGGCGCGTTCTGGACACCTCCGTTGCCTATGTGCGGGGAGAGGAGAACCTGGCTGGCTGGCGGCCCCGCAGTGACAGCCTCATCCTTGACCATCAGTGGGAGCTGGAGAAACTCAGCCTCCTGCAAGAAGTAAGAGTCTGAGCTAGATATGGGCTGACATGGTGCAATTGGCAGCTCAGCAGCCCCCCGCCCTCCTGGTGCTGGGGAGATTCCCTACCCTGCATGTCACAGCCCTCCTGGTTGCAGGAGGAGGCAGGAGTGGGGCTGTGCTGCCAGTGCTCCTGTGCTTTGCTGCCATCCAGATCCCAGCAGACCTTACAGCTAATGAGCAGATGGGTTAAGGGGGCCTGGGGAGGGGGAAGGGGGCCGCTTCTGAGCCTGAGTGCCTGTGCCCAGGTGGAGAAGACAAGGCACTACCTGCTACTGCGTGAGAAGCTGGAGACAACCCAGCGCCTGGGCCTGGAGACCCTGTCCCCCTGCTCCGGTGAGGACTCTGAGTCCCGAAGCACCTCCTGCGTCTCCTCCCCACTCTCTGCCGACGGGGCCCCTGAAGGCCGCACCTCACCCCCCGAAACCCCCAGCGAGAGGCAGAAGGAGCTGGCTGTGAAGGTACCATCCTGCAGCATCCCCAGCTTGCAGGGATGAAGCCAGGAAGTGGCTTCTACTGGGCAGCTGGGGATTGTGGCAGTAGCGAGCCCAAGAGGAGTGGGAGGAGGAAGGTGTCTCATGCCCCACTGTCCTCCTCTCTGCAGTGCTTGCGCCTGCTCACGCACACCTTCAACAGGGAGTACAGCCACAGCCACGTCTGCATTAGCGCCAGTGAGAGCAAGGTAATACTGCTGCCCCAGGCTCTGCTGAGCCTCTTGGGGACAGGAAGGATGTGTGCCTGGGAAAATGGCTGGGCAGGGGCCAGTTGGGCACTATGGCACAAGTCACCCCTGCTCTGGGGTCTCTGCTTCCTCTGCCTGCCCTGGTATTCTCAGAGCTGGTGGCTCTGAGGACTATGCCAGCAGAGGATCCTGCCAGCCAGGGGTCTTGCTTCTCCCCATATGAGCAGGAGGCTGGTCCTTTGCCTGTGCCTTGCTTTGTGCAGAAACTCTAGTCCACATCTCCCTTCCTCCACAGCTGTCTGAAATGTCCGTGACCTTGATGAGAGACCCTTCCATGTCAGCTCTTGGGGTCACCACTCTCACCCCCTCCTCGACCTGCCCATCATTGGTGGAAGGACGTTATAATGCCATGGAGGTCAGGTAAGAAGCTGGTGGGGAGGTTCTGGTGGCATTTCCCAAGTAGGGCAGCTGTATCACTGGGACACAGTCCCCGCCTATGGATGTTTCCCAGCCATACTCTTCCTACATTCCAGCCTCTCCTCCTTCCCCAGACCCCAGCAGGTTTCCTCCAGGGCAGACAGCCCCGACCTGGAGCCTGTGCTAGAAGGAGAACAGAAGTCCCCAGCCCGCCGACCTGAGGAGGAGAAGGAGCCCCAGCGTTTGCTGGTGCCTGACATCCAGGAGATCCGAGTCAGGTAGGAGTGACTGGGGCAGCCAGTGAGGGGAGTGCCTATGGGCAGGTGGTACCATGCCCTACCATTGCCACCTTCTCGAGGTCTGTATCCCACCCTGACCTTGGTCCCTTCTGCAGCCCCATCGTCTCCAAAAAGGGCTACCTGCACTTCCTGGAGCCCCACACCAACGGGTGGGTGAAGCGCTTCGTGGTGGTTCGGCGCCCATACGTCTACATCTACAACTCGGACAAGGATGCAGTTGAGAGGGCCATACTCAACCTCTCCAAGGCCCAGGTGGAGTACAGTGAGGATCAGCAGGCCATGCTCAAGGTAGGGCACCATGAACCAGCCCCGCTCCACGCACCCCCTTGAGCGAGGCACTCAGCCCCAGCTCTCCCACTGCAGACCCCGAACACATTTGCGGTGTGCACGGAGCACCGCGGCATCCTGCTGCAGGCGAGCAGTGACAAAGACATGCACGACTGGCTCTACGCCTTCAACCCTCTCCTGGCTGGATCCATAAGGTACTGGGCACATGGAAGGAAGGAGGGTGCAGAGAAGCCGTTGGTGAGGGTCTGCGGGTGGCCAAGCATGCTCCCTACCCTGCTCCCAGTGCTCTCCCTGATGGAGCCCCCAGATGGGTCTGGGGAGCATCTCCTTTGCAGAGCTGTGCCTGGATGGGCTGTCAGCTGGCAAAATGTGGAACATATTCATTTTGTTTTCAGCTCCTCCACATTTAAATGCTTCAGTCTAGGGCCAAATCCCAGCTGGTACAGAGGCACTGTTATGCTGAGCTCAAAGCAACATCCATGACTGGTGCTAGGGATACTGGCCTGTCACTGTTGTTGAGACCATCTCACGGAGTTTTTGAGACTGTCAAAGAAACCTTCCTGTCTGACCATGCAGGAGCCACTCTGGAAGTCACACCTGCACTGCCTGACCTGGGACTGAGATCCCTTCGCAGTGGGAGGTTCCAGTGAGCTAAAGGGGCCTTGCTTCACTCCCTGCACTCACCACACATAGTCAGACAGGCTTTCCTCACCGGCTCAGTCACCAGTTTCCCATAGCAGAATCTCAGACATCTCAATCCTTAAAATAATTTAATCAGGATGCAATAACAAAATAGCAGCTGGAACTGGGTGCTTCCAAGGAGGGACCCCAAACAAAACACCCTTTTATACCCTTTGAGTCTAAGGGCATGAAAGTCTGGTATCCTCGGCTCCTCCTGTGTGTGTCAGTGTCCCTCACCCACCTGGCCACAGGTCCCTATGTCCTTTGTTATGCAAAGGGTCGGCAGTTCACAGCCTCTCATCCAGAGCTCAACCTGCAGCTCGAACTGCAGCTGCACACCCAGCTACCTGCACTAAATGTGTTCATTCCTCAACAAGACCATCTCAGGGAGTTCTTGAGAGCATCTTAAGTGGCAGGTCTAGGGGAATAGGAGTAAATGCATAGAAATGTGCATGCTCTAGCTAAAGAGACATTAATTCTGCGTCCCTCAGTTCTGTCTGGATTCAAGCATCAGCCTGGAGGCAGGACACTAAACCCTGGAGTCCATACCTCTCCTTGTCTACAACTCTAACACCTTTTGCCCCTTGTTTTCCAAATCAGATCCAAGCTGTCCAGAAGGAGAACAGCCCAGATGAGAATCTAACCTGAAAAACACCTTCCACCTCATCCGTCTGCCAACAGGATCAAGATAGCTGATTCTGTCTGAAGACTCCCCATGTTAATGTCTGATCTCTCACACCATCTGCTGCCCCAGCTCTCTGCTCCATGGAAGGATCTGTCTCGATTCACACCTTCACAGGGGAAACTCACTTCCGTTTGTAGCTGCAAAGCCTGGACCTGCCTGGGCAGGATTCCTTGTGCGCGTGCCATCTTCTGCCTGTCCTCCCATGGGTGACCTTCATATCACACCATCTAATGCTCCAAAAAGGTCCCTATCAGAGGGGAGGGAGTGAGGAGGGTAGTTTTGGCTAAAAGCTGGTCTTTGATCTACAGAGGTGGGAATTCAGTAAAGCTCAGAGGTGGGAGAGCAGGAGGAATTGCCCCCAGGCGAAGGGAAAGTGGTAGTTTAGGATTTCCTAATTTACTGGTATTTCTGCAAGAGACAGCAGACTAAGATCAGGTGTCAGTACTCTAAGATTATATTTATAAAGTATTTATTTCTATTTACATCACAAAAATCCCATAAATTGAGTCCTGGCCCCTGGCCAATGCCTCCCCCAGACAGGGGAGAGCCTTGGTGGTGGGCTTGGGAGACGCCTTCCCCAGGACATCCCTGGCTTGTGCCCAGTGGCAGCGGAGCTCTTGCCCGTGCTCCCTGCCTTTCGCCAACCATCTGCTTTGCCCTCCCCTGCAGCATAAACAACTTCTCCCCCGAGGGGTGGCTGGACAGCCCCCTCAAAGAAGGCAATTCCTACCTGCCCATCTACCTCTGGAAGGGAGGAGCCTGCTGTCTCAGCTGGCCAAGGCACCCACATCCATGCAGATGGGTCACCACACTTTCAAGCTTGGTCCTACTGGAGGGAAAAGAAGAGCTCTGGGAATGGCTCTGCCTGCCACCCCATGCTGGGCTACTCTTTCCAACCAAAAGAACGTGGGCCACCTCCAGTATCCCAGCCCACGTGTCTTGTCCAAAGGGATTTCCCACTCTTAGGGCAGGATGCCAAGGGTCCCATCCCCACAGGGGGATGTGTGGAGGTTCAGGTGGAATGGGAAAATTCTCTAGGAGCTGGGGCTAGGAACGACCATCCCAACTGACAGGATCTTCGTTGCCCTTCCCCAAAAGGGCTTGCACCTCCCTTCTCCTCCCCACAGGACAACAGGCTCAAAGCAGGCCAAAGGGGCAGGGGAGAGGCTGGCCGGTGTGTGTCGGGGTGGGGATTCTTTTTTCTGTTGTAACTGGCGTTTTCTCACTCCTCTTCCTCTGCTGCCTAAGTGAACACCCACCTCCCCCCACCCTGCCTCCATCAGCACGTTAATCTGGGGGCTTCCCGTGTCAGAAGTGTCTTTGCTGAAAAGACCTTCTCCAGCCATCACTGCTTCCCACCTCCTCCAGCAGCAGCTCTCCCTCTCCTCCTCCTCCTGTCTCTCACCCATGGGTAGATGTTTTCATTCAGGGCTTCCCGAGTGGCCAGTGGTCCAGCACAGCTCCAGGCGGGAAGGCGAGCATCTCCCAGGCACCCCTCCGGCTTAGCTGTCCCTCGTCCAGCACAGCTGCGCCTTGGCTCTGCCGCACCTCCCTGCGCTGTCTGTGGGGTGTGTGTGCGTGTGTGTGTGTGTGTGTGTGTTGGACGTGGTGCTGTCTTCTCGTTACACTCGTGTTGTGGGGGGGCACGGACAGGTAGGGACGTGGCAGGTGGGCAGAGACTTGCACGGACCCCCTCACTGCATGTCAGGTGCTCCTCAGCCTGGGTTTCACGTGACAGAAAGGGCTTGGGGATTCTTTTTGAGCACGTGCTAGTTCTGCCTGGTCTCACCACAGCTCCTTGGGTATCTCACCCCATTGCTACAGCCCAAAGCTGCAGGGGGCTGCTCGTTCCAGCCCTGCTCCCCCGCGCAGGACACGCTCCCCATCAAACTGGGCTATTTTCCTCCCTGTGATCCATTTTAGACACCTGGAGGCCAACTCATGCCCTTTACGAAGGAAGAGGTGCCAGCCCAGAGGCACAGAGAGGCTGGGCTGGGGCAATGCAGGGGCCCAGGCTGTGGCATCCTGGCTCGCGCGCCCTGGACAAGGACTAGTTGGTACCATCAATGTAAGGGGCTAAGGATGGCAACAGTGGGTGCCTGAGGGGTGAGGGGAGGCTCTTCCAGCGTGGAGGCAGCTTCTGGCAGAGATGGGACCCGTGTCTGTCAGGGACCAGACACAGGTTCACTGGCCAGGGCCAGGCCATGCTGCCTGTGCCACAGGCGAGACGCAGCCAGGGGAAGGGCTTCCTCTAGCCAGAGCCGAACCGTGCCTGAGGCCAGCAAACCTGCAGAGCAGACGGCTCGGCTGGGGGTCAGGGCCAAAGGAGATAGGGCTGCCCGCCAGATGCTGCCGTGCCTGTCCCCGGCACACGGGCCACCCCTGCCGTCCTACCAGCCGCACTCTGGCCAGCACCGCGCTCCTGGTCAGGACCCTGGCACCCTTCCCCTCCACCACCACCACCCCGGGACAAGGAACACAAAACGGAGCTTTAGGCACGACTGGGAGCCCCACCGGAAAGGAAAACTCCACGGGGCAGCGGTGGCACGGAAGGCGGGCACCGGCGGGCAGGCCAGGCCTGAGGAGGAGGGAGGGAGGGAGGGAAGCCGCACTGCCCGCCCTTCGATTCCCGCCGGGGTGTGGGGGGGGTGCTGTGGCGGTACCGCGGGTCCCGGCCGTCCGTGCGCACGTGAGGCTTGTTCGGTTCTGAAATAAATGTGGCATTTAACGCAAATCCCGAGCGGCTGAAGCTCCTCACTGGGGACGGGGGGCGGGCGGGGCCGGGCCGGACCGCACCGCACTAGGCCCCACGTAGGGCCGCTAGGGGGCGCCCGCCGCGGGGACTGGGCGGCGGGGCAGGGGCGGGGCGGCGGCACCGACGGGCGGCACCCACCGGCGGCACCCACCGGCGGCACCCACCGGCGCCTCGGCCCCATTCGCGACCGTCCGAGGCTGCCCCCTGGCGGCCGCCCCGCCGCTGCCTCCGGCGCGCGCCCCGTGGGCGGGGTCCGTGGCGTCCCTTCCGCTCCCGCCCCGCCGCGTGCGCGCCCACTTCCGTCGGCGGTGTCTCGGCGGGGCGGCGGCGGCGGCCATGGATCTGTTCGGGGACCTGCCCGAGCCCGGCGGCGCCGCGGGTGAGGCCGCGACCCGCGCGGGGCCGCGCCGCCCTCCGGCCTGCCGGGGCCCGGCCTGCGGCCGCGCCGGAGCACGGCCTGACAGGCCGCGGGCCCCGCAGGGCCTGCTGCGGCTCGGCCCTGGTAACGGGGCTCCTGCGGGGAGCCTGGAGGGCGAAGGGGAGGGTGAGGGGGCGGGTTAAATACCTCTGGAGAAATTGCAGGGTTTGGGATTTATTGGTGGTTTTCTTTTCACTTGGGACTCAGCCCCAGGCAGGGGGTTGTTTTGCTTGTGTAGCAGTTGCCAAAGTTAGAGATGGGAGAAAGGTGGCCCAGGCTCTCCTGGTTTACCTCACCTATGGTCGATGGGGGCGGGGGGGGCAGTCCTTCCAAAAACCACCCCCAGAGTGCCTGCAATGGGTCCTGACTCTGCCCTGGTGCCTTGCAGGGAAAGATGCCCAGAAAGAGCCTCTGCTCTTTGAGGATCTCCCACCATCCAGCAGTGCCGGCTCAGGTATGGGTGCTCTGTTTCTGCCATTGCTTTGGCTTTCCATGTTTTCTGCACCAGCATCTCTTTGAATGAAACCTGTGTAAACGCTAGTTTTTTGTCAGATAGGCTTAAGGCAGTGGGGTTGTCAGTACTGATGTGCAGACCAGCTGCATCCTATTTGGTTTTTTTAAAACCAGGGTGTTGTAGATGTTCTGCATATGTTCTATAAAACATTCTATATAAACGTTCCCTGAAACAAATGCTTACATTTGTTAATTATCACTTTTGTTAAATATTAGGCCTGGGTTGGCCTGACCATCCAGTAAGGCAAGTAGAAGTTTGGCTGGCTTTGTGAAGCTGACAATTTGTGTCCCTCAGGAGGAACATACACAGAGCATTGTTCCCTCGAAGGGACAGAGGTGTTTAGTTCTTTTTGCCTTTTCCTTGTGCTCCAGGAAAAGGAGGCTCTTTGCTCTTCGATGATCTCCCACCAGCCAGCAGTGGTGACCCAGGTAAGGAGCTGTGTCACTCATCAGCCTCTGCTGAGCCACCCTTCTCAGGAAAGCCCACAGATTCAGCCTGCTGTGTTGGACACACGGCAAGTTAACCTGGCATCCAGGTTGGCTGACACTGGTCGTGGCAATCTGTTTGTGCCCCAGTTGTTTAAATCAGAATTCTGAATCTTAAAAAGTAAAGTTAGGCCTGTTGCCAGAAGTACATCCCTGTCCTTTGGGGACCATTCCCCATTGTCTGTCTGAAAGCTCCCTGTTTGGGGAGGGAAAGAAGATGTGTGCCCTGGTTCTGCCATTGCCCTGGCCACATTTCTGCTGCGGGCACAGGCTGCCTCCTTGTTCCTTGCTGAAAATGGCTTCAAACCCAGACTGCTGCTCTGTCAAGGCTTTCTGCATGCAGCCATGTGTTTGCTATCACCTGGGAGGAGGTGAGATAATTTGCTATACCATATGAGACTAAATCTTCAGAAAGAAAAGGCCAGAGTTCTGACATCATGGGAATCAGGTTTTGCTTGCTAGCTTTGATTTGTAGCCTGTCTTTTGAACTCCCTAACAAATATACACATTCAGAGTAATAAAATGTTTCTTTGCATTGTTGTGGGCAGAGTTTATCACGAAAAATAATAATAACAATAATAAATAAACTAGAAGTGTTCCAACCTGTAACATTAACTTCCTGAGCAATTAACTGCAAAAAAAGGCTGGTAGCTAAGAAAAAAAACAACCTGTGAGTTGTTGGGGAGAAACAAACAGCCTGCCAGACAAACACATCTGTCCTGTGTCTGAGGTGGAGTCACAAAGTGTGAAGTGTTAAAATCAGCACTCCCTGGGTTGGGCACTGATGTGTGCCATGGGTTGTACACTCTGAGGGAAGCTCTGTGTGTGCTTTTGGGGTTGGTTAGGGTTCTTGTAGTGCTTTGTAAGTGTGTGAGCCTGCACTCCTGAGTGTGCTTTGGTATAAAAGGACTTACTGCTGAATTTATGCTGAAGCCACCTGCATTTTTGCCTTCTTTCAGCCTCCAGTGCTACCAAGCAAGTCTCATCAGCAGGGAGCCAAGAGAAAGGGCAGAAGAGGAAGTCCTTGGAGGAGGAGGAAGAGAAGAATGGCAGGGAAGAACTTGTGGAAAAGAAAGTTTGTAAAGGTTTTCAGACAGTTTGAAAACAAATGTACTCAATTTGTACTTTTAGCGTTGGGCTGAGTAAGTCCAGAACAAAGCTAAGCTTTGGTTCTTCAGTCCGCTTGCCTTTTCAGCCTCTCGTAGGGAACAAACTGCTAGAGGGCTCTGTGGAAGCTGCTTAAGCTTCCTGGCACTCTCTGCCTTTTTCACCTGGGCCTCCCAACCATCCCTGCTAAAGAAGGAGGAGCTGAGCAGCAGGCACCTCAGCACTGGCAGGATAAGTGCCTGTGCGGCCGAGAGCGGGATTGGGTGTGGAACCTCTGGAAGGCTAGAGCCACACCAGTTTCTTTTGCCACATCCTCAGATCTCCCTACTGGCTGCTAAGGAAGCCAGAGAGGAAAAGAGAGAGGCTTGATACATACAGGGCCTTTGATTTAAGTGCCCGTGTGCTGTGTTGTTGCTTTGGGAGAAAGATGTGTTCCAGCGTACGAAGGAAGGGACACGTTCTAGGAACAGCAGACCTGGATTTCCCATCCTTAGCACCCTCTTTAAAGCTGTGTTCTACTTAATTTGCAAGTTCAGTGCCACATGCTTCTCCTGCCCACACTGTCCCCCACACCTTTTTGGTAAGAGCTCTGTCCGATGCCCAGCAGTCCTGTTTGGCTGCAGCTGCCTGCCAAAATTAGCTGCTTTTAGAGCTGCTGACATTTGGGGACATGTAAAAACCTGTGTTACAAAATAAAATGCCGTATTTGTTGTTGCAGTATGAGGGCTGCAGTGCCAGGACAGGGTTCTGAAAGCTGAGAACATAGTGATTTTTTTAGCCTGAGCTGAAGAGACAGAGGAGTTTGATTTGCGTGCACATCTGCTTTATTCCCCCTTAGGATCAGTGGATATTCTGGGACTGAAGGGTTACGTGGCAGAGAGAAAAGGTGAGAGAGAAGACATGCAGGATGCACATGTCATCTTAAATGATATCACCGAGGAATGCCGGCCTCTGCCCTCCCAAATGTAAGTGGGCCCCAACTGCCAGAACAGCCATCATGGGGATGAGGGAGCTCCAGCTAGCTTCATGAGATGATCCTTTTTGCTTTGAGCAGGCACTTGCCCTACCTGTGTTGTTGTGCATGGTTTGGGCTTGTTACTGGGAGACCTGGGATGAATCACTGCTAGCTGTGTTCCCAGGCAATCCACAGGGCTGGTGTAAACAAATACCTCCCTTTGAGGGGTGCTCAGTGGATTCAGTCACTGACTTCACAAGGATCATGAGGCCCAGATGCTCAGCCTCTGTTACCCAAACATAAGGAGGGATGCTTAGAGACCCTCAGTTTAATTATAAGTAATCAGACCTTGCCTTGGGGCTTATAAATGTGTAAAGCCCAAACTGTGGCAATGGAGAATGCTGGGAGAAGATGGATGGCAGAACTCTCTCATTTGAAAAGTTTAAATCTCTTAGCAAAGTAACACATCTTAAGTGTGTGTAAAGGGGAGTGTGGGTATTTAAAGGAATGTTCTCAGGCATCACTCTGATTCTGGACTTCACTTCTGAACAAATACTGTCCCAAAGCTCTGTGTGCTGAGGGTTCTGAGTTTCTTGTCTGTAGCATAGCTGAGACAAGCTTAGGCTTGGAAGGTACCGTAGGACTGGTTAGACTGTAGATGTCTGTAGTGCTGGGGAGTTGCAGTGTCCTTGAGGTGAAATGTTTAGCTGCTTTTATGCCAAGTTGCAGTCCATATGCTCTTCTGCCCTTCGTTTTTTGTGTGGAGTGGAAAATTACAAGGAAGTTCTCAGCTCAGTGCTAGAACACGTAAACCCTGTAAATGTGAACTCAGACCTGCCACCTTTGTGCGTTGGAGAGCAGGATTTATTTGATCTGGCTGACACAGTTGTTATGGAGAGGAATGTACTCAATCCCCTCTGGCTAATGGCCTTTCTTAGCCTCTTTCTACTATTTTTTGTTCCCTCACAGCACACGTGTCTCGTATTTCGCTGTTTTTGATGGCCATGGGGGAGTCCGAGCCTCGAAATTTGCCGCACAGAATCTGCACCAAAACCTGATTAAGAAATTTCCTAAAGGTGAGAGGAATGGAATAAGGGCTGTAGGACAACCGTCCCTTTTTCTGCCTTGACATTGTGGCAGTGGGTAGGGAAACGGATCTGTTTGGGTGTAGTTCTGCATTTCCCATCCCTTATTCCCAGCGGGCTTGCAACAATGCACTGTCTCCCAGGGAAGAGGGCTGGAAGCCCTTCTGGCACAAGGGTGCAAGTAGCCAATCGTGAGCTGCCAAGCAAGTGTGAGGTGTGCTGTTGCCAGTTTTAGCAGTGCCACTTCATGTGTGGAAATCTCCTGTGTTGGAGAAGTTCATGTCATAAACTCTGCATACATGCTACCGCACAGATTTTTGGTAGGGTGAGCCCAGGATGTGCCCCAGCTGCTCTGCACAGGGTCTGAGAGATGCACGGAGATCCACTGAGTGTTGGATGAGCAAAGGGATGGAGT